GAAATCCTAACCTTTAATCAAATCAAGTCAAACATAAAAAATACATATTAAGTTTTAAATATTCATTAAAAATTGGGTGTCACCAACAAAGACAAAAAGAACATAATCTACCACAGATTATAATGATAACATAAGATTACTATAGAAGTTAAAACCACACTGGAGGTCTGTCATGGCGGTATCACATTAAATCTCCACTGACTCAAGTCGAGCCCATTAAATTTCTGATTACGAAAACCATGACACCCTGGTTTATATGATTTATATATGTGTTATTTACAGAATAGACTTTAAAATCTAACTTTTGACTTTTAAATGTTTAAATGATTTAGCCCCTGTCTATCTGATTGACCTTGTGTATGTCTTTCCCTTGCTATGTAGTACCAACAAACTGCTCCTAAAACGCCTGAATTCACACGAACAATGTATGACCTTTCCATCGTTTTGGTCTTTTCAAACAAAATAGTTCTTCACCATAATACCAATTCATTTTTGTTGGTCAGGCCTATGTGATGTTTATGCTCTGCAATATTTGTTTTCATTGTAGAATTGTTTTGATATATTAAGTTATAAAGGATTATTACTTTTTGGACCTGTATTGATATGGTTTATTTTAACACGTTTCTGAAAGGTGTAAGATAGAATAAACGTATAAAATAACAATAAAATATACTTTGATATAATCCTCCATATGTCAATCTTCTCCTTCAAATGTTTTATCTGTCCGAGTCAGCTATTTGCCTCCAGTAATAAACATTCATAATTTTGCACGTACATGCTATCATGGACAAATCTTCTCCCATTTCACTTTGTAATGCATTTTTATTAACCCTTGTATTAGCAATATCAGATACAAAAAAGAAGGCTGTAAAAAAGCTTTTTTATTTATTATTTTGATTGCCATAAAAACTTTACTTTCAGAATGGTTGAACTATTCAGGGAATTCCCCTATTACTTTCCCTGTAAATTCTGAGAAATGTAAACAGGCAGGGTTAGTTGTAATCATCTAGAATCTAATCATTGATTTTCAGTTACCTAGCAACTCATAATGACACCAGGGTTAAAAAAATTATACACTAAGGTAAAAAAAATAAAATATCCTCGTGTATTTGTCTAAAGATCTAAACCTTATATTATTTAAAAATTATTGGTATTATTTCGTTTCATATTATTAAGCTTTAGTTCAGGTAATCACGTATTAAAGTGATACTACGTCTTAGAATTAACATAAAATTTAAGAATTTTAAACTTGGCCAATAATAGCCAGTAGATATACCTGGTGTCATAAATACCATAACAGGATACTTATATAATCCGATAAATCCAAAAAATACTTAGTAATTATCAATAAATATGCAATTAACTATTGAAAAACGCTTAATATCAAGAATACGCGTTTTTCAATAATTACTCTTAGTTTTATGAATTTTCCAAATTTTACAGTTGTAACTTTATGACACCAGGTAAACTAACTGATGAATATATAATTATATTGACCATTTCGAGAACTTATATTTTATGTTTATTCTAAGACGTAGTATCACTTTAATGTAAAGACTTATGTTGCCCCGTAGGTCCAATATTTAACGCTACAATTTAAAACCCCCAACCTGTGTCGAAATTAATGCTACAAACTGAGACTTCGTTTAAACGTAAATAGAAATATGGTAATTTTGAGATAACTAACTTCCGTTGATCAGTTTAGTTATATTTTATAACTTGATTCTACAGATTTCGCTCTTAATACATCTGTAGAAATACCACAGTTTAAATAGTCCAAAATACACCACTTGTAGATTGATATAGAAATACCACTGTTAAAATAGTGCTCAATACATCAATTGTAGAGCTATATATGAACATCACTGTTAAAATAGTGCTCAATATATCAATTACAGAGCGATATAGGAATACCTCTGTTAAAATTGTGCTCAATACATCAATTGTAGAACGATATAGAAATATTACTGTTAATATAGTGCTCAATACATCAAATGTAGAACGATATATCAATTACAGAGCGATATATAAATATTAAAACAGGACCTGAAACATGTTTACGCTTTGCGTTCCTAGGGCATATTATAAATTATTATTATCACAATGTTTAAACTTACCTTATTCAAGGTCATCGTTCAAACTTGCATAATGCTCATATTTAAACTAAAGCCTGGCCCACACTGGAAAATTATATTTAATGGAGTATTTCGTCGATCTAACCAACATTGATCTAATTCGAAGAGAGAAGAATGTACAGGACAGTAGTTACCATGCAAAAAAATAACATTTAAAAGCTTTTGAAAGAGGTGTCGAATTTACCAAATAAGCAATGAACGTTATTACATTGGACTTTGAGTGGATGCCGAATAGCAAACTCAATACAAAATGAATATTTTTGGTATGTGGACTCCCTGAACGTTATGTCGGTTAACGAACAATACTACCATACTACTCGGGGGCAATCTGATAACGGCATAAAAATTTTAGAATGTTTTTTTGTTAAAACTACCATTTCAATTTACCGTAGATAAAACCTTTCGTGATAGATAGAGGAGTGTGAATAGCGCATAAATAAAGTCCGAGTCATGTGTTGATTTTGTTTGAACATGTTCGGTAACTTATTACATGTGTACAATGATAGCAGTGTGGGTTGTTTTAAATTGAGGACTACAACCTAAAGTCGAGCAGGTACTTTTAATTCATTACAGCGCTATTATTTTCATATGTCGCTTTGTCATCATCACTGTCTAATTAAAATTAGACCAAACGTTCGTTCCGTTTTTTATAAGCTTTTATTTTTGATGTAGCCAATTCATTTAGGAAGTTAGGTAGTGGCTATATTAAAAATAAAAGGTAATAAAAAAAAATAGAAGAAAGTTTGTTCTAATTTGAATTAGTCATCGTCTGTGGCTACTTAAAAGTTTGTTTTATGAATGGATCTAGAGTTCAAGCTAGCAGAAATTGAATACCGGTTCCACATGGCGATGCGTATTAAGTATTTGGTACATTTTTGTAAATCATTTTTTTTCTGAGATGGCACCCATGGAGTTGGTTCAACCAGTCCCTATGTTGTTTTAGGTTTTGTTTTGATAGTCATATATCGCTCTACAATTGATGTATTGAGCACTATTTTAACAGTGGTATTTCTATATCACTCTACAATTGATGTATTGAGCACTATTTTAGCAGTGGTATTTCTATATCGCTCTACAATTGATGTATTGAGCACTGTTTTAACAGTGGTATTTCTATATCGCTCTACAATTGATGTATTAAGTACTATTTTAACAGTGGTATTTCTATATCACTCTACAATTGATGTATTGAGCACTATTTTAACAGTGGTATTTCTATATCGCTCTACAATTGATGTATTGAGCACTATTTTAACAGTGGTATTTCTATATCGCTCTACAATTAATGTATTGAGCACTATTTTAACAGTTGTATTTCTATGTCGCTCTACAATTGATATATTGAGCACTATTTTAACAGTGGTATTTCTATATCGCTCTACAATTGATGTATTGAGCACTATTTTAAAAGTGAAAATATTTTATTGTATTGTTTACATTATGTTTAAATTCCAATTGATTTGTAGGTAATGAATAACCGATCAGTGTTAACATATTACTAGTATGATAATCATATGACCAGGACGCGTTACATTCAGAAGAGTAGGCCATGTAACATTCTATGATAAATCTATCGTCACAAGATCAAGCAGGAATTAAAATGTTCTATGATCGACATCCTCAAGATGGTGATGAATACAAAAGTACAAAAGATTTCTGTCTATTTTTTGTCATTTCATGATTAAATGCTTCGACCAAAAAAAGATTTTGTTCAGCAAATTATAAAACTATTCATAAACATGTCTTACAATGTCTTAGTTTGTGTTTTCAATAGAAACATTCTTCTATTATAGATGTTCAGATTTTATATTTGTTCAAAACAAAAGTTTAATGATCTGTTTCGCGCGACAATTATCTCGCCATGTTTTGTTCTCTATAGCAACAATGTGCATGTCGAGCCTCTGGTCTATAATCCATGTAAAACACGATAGCTAATATACCAAGCTTGGAATCGAGAATCAGCTCGTTACAATTATTCTAGCAAGGGCTCAAAGGTCTGCAAAACACGTACATCCCTTGAACTCTGAGTTTGAAGTATAGTTAATATTTCTATATTGAAACAGTCATGTGTACGAGAATATGTTAAAACTTATCAAACTCTTTGTTTCTTGAAAAGAAATCTGGGATGGTTTACTTAGAGTGATTGTAAAGAGGTTTTCTAAAAAAAAGTTATGTGTATCGGAGACACTGATAGCATCAATTTGCACCATTCCTTTTTTCAGTCAGTCGCCTGTGGTTCCTGCAATCCACTAAAGCTTAAGTGTTTAATGAGGTCACTAATCGCAAGGTATGCTTGTATCACATTATGCCCTTCGCGATTATTGACGTCCACTCTAACCACTAAGTAATTATTGATAAACAGGGTTGGTATAGACCAAGATTTTTGTTATGTTATTTTTCTTATATATCGATCTATTCCATTGTTTTAGTAATATTTATTGTTTTATCTTTCAGATACATAGGAAAAAGGTTAAGTCCGTAGAATAAAATAAAGAAAAATATATTGATTAGCTTTCAAATCGGATTCCAACGACCTGAAACAAACGGAAACAGGGCAGTAAACAAGCTAGAGGACACTTTAAAGTCATCAATCGAAACAAGTTTACGGACTTTAATTTCGAATTTGTAAAACAAGTTGACGGACGCTTTCAATTCAATTAGATAATATTCAAATCCTTTGGCTAATACGGAACTAAAAACTGAAACAGTCTATGAAAGGAATATTGTTGACTTAGACACAAGGTTTGCTTGAAGCTGGTAAAGAAAAAGGATTAAGTGAAACAAAGTTTGAGGCATAAGCTAACCGAGGAGTTAATACAAAGTGCCAATGTTATAGTGATATCTGTGATAAATCATAAAATCAAAATGACAATAACAGTGTTAAGATTGACTAGTTGTTTTATCGTCTGGGGTGTTGTTTGTCTCACAACTATTCGAGGAGCGGACCCAGTCCTTACCCCACAGATATTGACTAATGGTTCCAACTCAGCCGACAGTAACAGTACGATTACCTGGGGCGCTATGCCCGAGGGTGAGGAATACAAGGCGAATGATAAATATGACGATGGAGGGATGGGACCTTTATTTGACTTTGCCAGAAGTTTCATCAACACGGCTATACCCAATGGATTCCCGTCCGGTAAGTCATCTTTGTATGTTATCTCATGTATTAAGATGCGATACTTTTAAACGGAAAGAATTGTTTTATATCTTTGTCAATGGGGTGGTAGGCTGTCTCTCAGGAAAAAAATCTGTCGGAGATCTTTTTAACGGGGCAAATGAAATTCTACCTCCAACCTGTCCTATTTGAGCTAACAACGACAGGTAACGCCATACAGTGCATGATCGGGGAAATCAGTTATCCTTCTCATTGCACACCTCATGGCGTCACCCGTTGCTCCGGCCAGTAGCAGAAAAACAGCCATATAATGACCACAACATTAGCAAACAAGAGTAGTACCTTCAACCTTATTAAACAACAATACATGTATGATATAATTGTTTGTATTTTAGACTTGGTGAAAGATTTTATGAACGGTAATTTCAAAATAGGAAGCGACTACATGAGAGTAAGTTTGAGAACAATAATTTTATTTTTCAAGTATTCTTCTTGTCTCGCATTTCACTGTGTTTTGGGTATAACTGGAATTTATACTGGGTGGCAATTTATTTCTCTAAATTAAGGAACTTTGTTGGTACATTCATCTGAAACAAAATTATAATTTAAGCGGCTTAAATATTCCAAAATCCCAATAAAACGCATGGTTGGTAAGGGGAGTAGGCATTTGTAGAGTTAGATTTCGTTCAAACTCATACATCCTCCCAACTCTGCTGCGTTTCGATATGTCAGATCAGGTTTTATTTGCCTTCTGGATAATCAGTACTACCAGTACTGTTAATTGTAAAATCCCTAAATAACTCGAACGATTTGAAAATGAGCTGTTTTCTGTAATGGGGATCGTCCGAACCCATACAACCTCCCAACCCTGTTGCGGTTTGGTATGACTGCTCACATTGTCAGTGGCCCAACTCGATGTTTGAGGGGGGATGGACTTCAGTGGGTTGGGGCTCATCCCTGTGAAATTTGTTGTAAATTATGCTTGTGGAATGTTTGATTTATTACTTATTGATTATTTCAGATAGTGCAGGATTTCGCTGGATACGGGGCGTGTATTGTAATCGGGTTTCTATTTATGATCATCTTTACTCTGGTCGGCTGCTGTTTCTGCTGCTGCCGTTGCTGTGGAAACTGTGGCGGGAAAAAAATACAGAAACGCTCGTCAAGTTCATCATGTCGTCGAAAAGTTTATGGTGTGGTTTTGTTTGTACTTGTTGTTTTCACTGGGTAAGTCGTGATGTATTAGCTGGTTGTACATTCTGGGAAAGCCCCAGGAGTTCCCCACAGTCACAAGCCACACCTCTGCTACGATTTCCATTCGATATATTGTGATAGCTCAAGTTTATCACTTCTCAGATTTGGATGAATATTCTGTATTCTTGTGTCCAATGAAAGTTGGATCAAAACTACCATCACCCTTTCCCCTATCAACTCCACAACCTAAGTCACTGTGGTAAGGTGTGTCAAACGGAACTTCAACCCGCTGCTCTTCGTCCAGCCTAAGATTCTGTGTATTTGTATTCCCATGATATATTTCAGTGTTGGAGCTATATGTGTGTTTGTATCCAACGACAGGATCTCCTCATCCTTGGAAAGATATGGACCGACTGTTACCACCAATCTGGACGATATGCTCTCCTTTGTAGATAACACAGTTGCTGTGAGTACGAATTTTAGTCCAAGGATTCTGTCGCGTTCAATTAACTCACACCGCCCGACTTTTGGAAATAAAGTTAAACAGGAAATTGTGTAAAATGTTATCAACTTATATGATAGATAAGCTTGCCTTCTTCATTACACTACTTCATGCAAGTCTTGTATCCATATGGTCAAAGTGACGAAAACTGAGTACTCGGTGACCCGGTGATTTTTAAGTAGGCGCTCAGATTGATAAAAACTATAGATCAATATCAAGATCTAAGTGTCTCTTACCTTATCGGAAAGGCTTAAATATAGAAATCCTGCCGTTTAGTTTTGGAACGACAAAGGCAGCCAGAGGCTCCACCAGAAGCCAGCGGATTTCGAATAGCGTGAGATGTATTTGGAGCACTAAGAGAGCTCAATTTTCACTTCAAAATAAGACCTTTCACAGGCCTGAGGGGTGGGCCACAGCCCAATGGCCCTTCCCCTATACGCTATCGATAGTGGGTTATATGGTAATATAGCCTCACTGTTACAAATGTAGTTATGTAGCAAGCTTTAGTACAATCAAACCCAAATCTTCTTTTACAGCAAGTAAACCACCTACTGAAGAAAGATCTCGATTTTACATTCGATGTTGTGAATAGAGATTTAGACAGTAAGTAAAGAAAAGAAGAGAAGAGAGAGTAAACATGAGAATATAGCAAAAGGGAACACTAATGAAGATAATTCAATAGCAATGAATGTTATTTCTTCATTGTTGTTTTGTCTTAAGGCTTCCCGTTTGCTATATTCTCACGTTTACCCCCTCTTCTTCTTTTCAACTGATGACGAAATATTGTTGAAACATTATGTTATGAAAAAAGTGTGTTATACCATGATATATTACCTTCTCTTTTTGTTGCATATACTCTCCGGTTCTAAATCTCCTCCTCAGATTAGCTTGTTGTATTATCATTGGCGTTAATGCCTCAAACAATCAAAATTATTAACAAATACAGTATACTGTCATGTCTATCAAATATCAAATAGTAGGTGCAGAAAACATTATATAATTATGAAAACTATTTCAAACACATCAACCACACAAGACTATACAGACTCCTATTGATTTTCAAATAGTTTGATTTGGATGACGTCGAGTACAAGGGAGGGGGTGGGGGAGAGTTTGCAAGTTTCTTAGGGAGTGACTTATTACTAATTTCATTTTTATATGAGTATTTGTTCATATTATGAAGTCAATTTTGGATTTTTAAAAATCTAACTATCATGATACCATGTTTATTGGTGTAAAGTGACACTTGACGTATAAAAATAGATTATTTTTTAATTTTATTTCTTTGCAGATGTTGATGTTTTAGTTGGAATTCCCGTCCGAAACAATTTAGATGCCAGTATAAGTGCAACAGTCTTGTTCGATCAAGTAGGAAATCTAGAAACAGGTAATATTCAGTTTTATGTTTTTCAGTGCGGGTTACCTCCAACTCTGCATTGTTGTTCGAACATCTTTCCAAAACTCCAAATCACTGTCTTCCCAGGACGTAGCCAGACTTGATTGTATGAAGGGACAAGTAATATATCCGGAGGGTCAATGGTGTATGGTATAAAGTTGCAATAATGGAATTGTTCGGTTGTCTTGATTTTTCAGGGGTAGGGGGGGGGATGCAATCTATTATTTCGGGAGGGAGGTGCTTGTAGCTAAGGGCCTGATCTTTCCACGATCAAACCTATTGTGCTACCAAATCTCGAACAATACGTCTTTTATTTTATATTTTATGTTGTAGATGTGTCCACTGCTATCACCCAATTCGATGCAGTTGATGCAGATGTCACAAGATTTAAGGCTGCACTATCAACATTTAAATCAGAAGTTGACCAGTGGGTAATTGACTATAACAATGATAAGGCTGCCTGTAATTCGCCTTGTAACTCTTTCCCTGATGCTTCCACTTTGTCAACAGACATTGATCCCAATCAGGTAGGAAACAGTATATCAGCATGGTATATCCATTACTATGTATGTCACGTTGTCAAACCGCCAAAATATTTCTCATCATTGCATGATTATATCAATCCTATCGATGTTATATTTTGTATTCCTAAGCCTTATTTCGTACTTCCGCTTCAACCTCCGCCTCTTCCTCTTCCATTTTCTATTGTTATTCTTCCTCCTCCCCCCACTTCCTCTTCCTTTTCCTCTACTCCCCCTCTTCCTCTACTCCCCCCTCTTCCTCTACCCCCCCCCCCCCCCCCTTCTTCCTCTACTCCCCCCTTTTTCCTATTATTAACATTATATAATATATATATTATATTTAAGATCGATATTAGTGGTTCTAAAACTGAGATTGATAAAATACGAAATAAAAATATGGAGACTTTAGTCAGCACGGTGAGTAATGTTTAATACATTTAGTAGTTCCATTTTATTGAATAAATAAACCAAGCAGTAACGATCCGATTCGCAAAATGAAACCCGAAATTCAAACAATATACTGGTAAACATTGGTAGCATGAGGAAGTTTATCAATCACTAGTGAGTAAGTATTATATAATGAATGAGACAAACTGGAACTTCGAAAACAGGATTGAATAACTGATGAACTAGCAATAGCCAGTTTTGAGGTTTCTGGGTCTATTCCGGAATATTTGGGTTTCATTGGTCAATGATGTAGAAGGAAACTGGGTCCAGTCGTTCTTATGATACAATATGCTACGCCTCCTGCTCAAGTTTATGCACGTAAGAGAACGAAGAATGGGAGTACAGATTAGTTCTTAAGCCGTAAAAATCAATTCTATGTTGATTTCCAAACCTGTACATATTTCAGGCTCGTAATGATTTTAACAATATACCAGAACGCGTCAAGAACGAATCAAAAACATCCATACAAGGTAATTATGTTTGTATTAAAATTCAACTTTTTTTAAATTACTGACATCATAGGAAGCTCGCTAGACATTCGAATCATCTTTGTACTTTCATATATGAAGGATATTAACGAAATCTTTTCTCCAAGTGCTCTGTATTATCTGAATTTGTTAATGAGCAATCCCCTCTCTTACCGCTCCCCCAACAATGCTTCAGTTAAACACCATACAACATTGCCCTAACTTTCCCCTATGAACAATCAAGTCTGTCTACGGGCCAGTTGCTAATATTGTACAGTCAATTTGAAATTTTCCAATATTAACCAGAGAGGATTGTTTCATATGGTTATATATTTTCCGATGTTCAGAATGTTTTCACGTTAGCTTTATTCCTCATTACAGTGTTGATATAAATATTTCAGAACATGTAAACTTGTAAACCATATTAAATCCAATCCGTCTTCATTAACCCAATTATGTGCATAAGAGTAGGACGTAAAACTCCAGTTATTTCTTTTCAGATATAAAGAACGCAATTAACTCGTATAAAAGTAATATAAAACCAATAACTGATTCCATCAATGATCTTCAGAATTCTGTAAGTGTACAATTTTATCAGTTTTACAGCCACCCCGCTCTTACTTTATACCATTGACTCTGAATAAAAATAGAAACCATTAGAATTAATTGCTGTTACTGTGCATATTCTTTTCATTTTAAAACCCTTTTTTAACACTTCGGTTTTTCTTCTCGACGAGGGATTCTACGAGGTATCACCTGAATGTCAAGAGTGTGAGTCAGTGTTAAAGATAAAACATCGTCTGCAAATGTTCCATCGCTTTTCACTTTGGCTAATGTATTTGTATCAGGTACAAGGCAGAGGCGTAAATTTTTCATCAGGAGGGATAATCATTTAAGCATGAACAATGTCGTTTTGATTTAGTAAACTATAACATTTCATGCGAACCTCTGAACCACAGTATTTTCAGTTTTAATTGATATAGAAATAACTATAATGAAATGATTTTAAATCATCAGTTGAGCGGCTCCATTGATCTTGAAGATATGAAAGCTCAAGTTACTTTATACTCTAAAGAAGCTAAGAATTACGATCAGTTCAGGTAAGATATCGTCGACAAATTCCCAACTCTCTGAAACAATTCGACAAACGAAAATACTAGATAGGAATGGCGACTTACCCAGCATTAGCGTTGTTGAATTGACGAAACCAAATACCTAATAAACATTATGGACTCTGTGTTCAGTGGCGTGCCCCATACCCTCAGGCCTATGAAAGTCTTATTTTGAAGTGAAAATAAAGTCCTCTGAGTGCTCAGAATACATTTCAGGCATCCGAAAGTTTGGGGACCTCTGAAAACCTTAAGCCCCCGGCATCAAGGGCTTTACGAAACCACGATCCCAGTGACTTTGAGTTGGCAAACCCGAATACTCGATGGCCCAACGTCATTAACTGTAGGAGCCTTGTAAGAGGTTGTAGAGTTACCAAACCTATTCTTAAATACGCATTATAAACTATTTGTATTATTAGAATGAGTTATGGATGTCCTTGATATTGATGGAACAATAGTAGCTATACCAAGATGACATGTACAATGAATGAATATTTTTATGGTACTATTTAATATAATATAAAATGTTAATTTTTCTAGATGGTATGGTGGTATTGGACTGGCCTGTATTATAATTTTGATTGTCGTACTACAGTTCGTTGGTCTGGCTTTGGGTGTCTGTGGCAGTGGTTCTGATACAGTACCTACAGAACGTGGCTGTTTATCAAACTCCGGGGGAAATATGCTCATGGCGTAAGTTTATTTTCTTGAAACAATTTTGTTTAAATTTACTGTGCCTCATTTCACGATATCCTACCTCCTTGGTGCAGAAATTCGACTTGGAGTTAAAATATCCAATTCAAATACAGGAATTTCGACAAAGTAAATCGAATTCGCTGAACAAGAAGGAGATGATATGACACAGTTTATATATATATTATCATTTCAGAGTTTTATGATTATTATTTCAGAGCTGTTGGTTTTATCTTTATATTTTCCTGGTTGTTTATGTTTTTAACAATGTTATGTTTTATGCTTGGTGCACCAATGGAGAGATATTTCTGTCAGTCTCTCGCTGATCCTGAACTTAAAGCTATTAATCAGGTAATATCTGAAATTCTTTACTTATCTACCAATTAACTTGAAGATTTTGACTGCTCATCTTAGCGAATGAGTACCAGAGGCTTGTAACACCAGTATTTATACTACGCAAAGTGCCTTTTTTGTACTGTTGTAACCTAACACTCATTTATATTCTCGAGGGTGGTTCACTGTTGTATTATTTTCTGTTTATAGAGACATCAGACGTGATCTAACTCTAGGTTATATTCTAGAGAGTGGTCCATTGTTGCACGATTGTCTGTTTATAGAAACACCAGACATACCTTACTCTGGGTTATATTCTAGAGGGTGGTCCACTGTTGTATTATTGTCTGTTTATAGAAACACCAGTCATCACCTAACTCCGGGTTATATTCTAGAGAGTGGTCCATTGTTGTATTATTGTCTGTTAATAGAGACACCGGTCATCACCTAACTCTGGGTTATATTCTAGAGTGTGGTCCACTGTTGTATCAATGTCTGTTTATAGAAACACAAGACATCACCTTACTCTGGGATATATTATAGAGAGTGGTCCACTGTTGTATTACTGAAACACCAGACGTGATCTAACTAGAGAGTGGTTGTCGATTGTTGTACTATGGTATGTTTTTATTGAATGTATAGGAATATAATATCGTTACGTTTCTAGATTTTAACTGATGTAGTAAAATTAAAACCATCCACTGGAACTGGCTCATGGTTAGGAGAACAAATATTTAATGATCCAAGTGTTAGTTTGACGTTTGAAGGCATACTTAGGTAAGTCAAAGAGGCTCTGAGCGCCAAATTACAAGATATATGTATAAATTTTTAAATCGAAGTAATACTTCTGTTGAAGAATCGCTGATGGAAAAACATTTTGAAAATCAGTCTGACAGTCTGACTTTGAAAAAACTAATAACCAAAACAAAAAGCCATTTATTTGCGATCACTGGGAGAACTGATTTTATCCCGTTTTTCTCTAAATCTCGGTTCCAAGTTGTTACATGTATATATTATGAATCCATTTTGCCAGACCTGTAAGCTTGTAATACAGCAGGTTGTACTTCATCCTTACTTAAAGTAGGATTGAAATTTTAGAGATTCACGGAAAGCAGACAATGATCAAAGGCCTGACAACATGTTTCAAAGCAATTTATTTTCGTTTTATTGTGAACGATCCTAACGTTGAAATTTTATTTTGAACATTGATATGCACAGATTATATTGAGTTCTTTCAATTCATAACCCACACGATTAAAAGAACGCCAATACAATTACTTAATTATGTATTTCTATCCATTGCAGTATGTTATTATGTTGTTACCACTGGTTGACTTGTAGTAATATTTGTATTTGTATTTCAGTGATTGTAAGGAAGGAAAAACTGCTTATTCAGCTTTTAGTTTGGAGAATCTAGACGGCTTCAATTTAACTAAAGTAACAAATTATAAAGACGTAAGTTGATGAAAGAAATATATTTATTATACACCTTAAACAAATATTTCTTCTATAATTTCCCCTTTTCTTAACAAATTATTGATCAAATATTAGTACAGCCAAATTAAAATCAATCATAACCAGAAGAAAAATAAGAAAAGTTGAATATTGAAACTCAACCGTACGCCATCTATTCTGCTTTTCAATCTCATGGATTCCATTAAACACCACAATTTAACATACACCGTGTATTTGTGTTATTTTGCAAATGTGCAAAATCCCTCAACCCTGCAAATAAAAAAGATTAACACAGGAAACGATGGGAAGTGTAGACCTGTCAATAAAGGGAATCAAATGACACACTAATTCTATTTTTTTTATTAAATGTTTTAGTCAATCGATATAGAAGATCAGTTAAACTCTATTAATGTAGATTGGACTACTGTTGAAGTGGCTCCTCAGTCTCTACAAGACAACCTGGATGACTTTAAAGCCAGTATAGATAATATGGACTTCGCAACATACAACACCGAGGTATTCAAGTCTTTGTGTTTTTCACGTCTTATTACTTTTTCTTCTATCCTTTTTCATTTTATTTTATATTATATTTTTACATGTCCACAAATTAAACAGCATTTGTCATTTGGTATCCTGAATTCAAATCTCAAATCTACATTCTTTTAATGAAATGACCGGTTTACAATCCAAATCCCAAATAAATATTATCTATGACATTGTGACTCCCTATATATATGACGAGTTGACAGCCCAAATTCCAGATAAACATTATTAGCTATGTGGCCTCTCTGACGTAGATGGCGAGACATACCTACATATCATATTAGTTGGCTCTCTTAAAGTGACGCAGGGTTGAAAGACCCAGAATGACCTTAAACGGCATAACTTATCTTCCGAACTGATGGTTTATGAAATTTGTGGAGATTTGGAAACAATTTGATCTCTACTTACCAATGAAATTTGTTTTATTTCAGCTAAACAAAAATGTGTCTGGTCAGAATCTAACAGCCTTTTTAGTAGATTTTAGATCGAAACTGGATGATCTGAGTGGTGATAAAACGGTAAATTATTGATTGATTTTTTCTAGTACTCATTGTCAGGGAGGGTCTTAGTATTCGTCAAAGGGAATGGAATATTCTTGTATTTGAGGAATTATAAGATGATATACATTAATAATAATATAGAAAGTAATGAGTAACTACAATAATTCTGGGTTGAGACAAGATGGTCAAAATATCGAATTATTTGATGTAAAACTGAGCTTTATGTGACTTGAGCAATTCATCTGATGTCTCGCATATTGTTAGTAAATCTTCTCCTGAACAGATGCCTTATTCTTGAAAATTCAAGTCTCCAGCACGAATTATCTTGATGGCATTAAGAATTGTTGGTTTTTTTAGAATTTAGAAGCACGCTATAATGAACTAGTGGCTATCAGAAATGGAAGTTATACTAATACATTGAATGCCAAGGTAAGTACAGATTTTACAACTCAAGTTAAATTATGATTATTTCTTCCTGCTTCCTGAACTAGGCTCCATAACCTCGTCCGGGTCACGCTTTATAAATATATGAGGTGAATAACTTCAAACCATGTACAAATCACCTGTTTCAGAAAGAAATTGTATGCGTCTAGTTAAATGCAAAAAATAATTGGAATCGACTGAGTGTCTTCGAGATTTCATTATAGGGAGTAAACGATGTAGAGTTACCATTCTTATTAGAATTGATACTGTTTAGAATTTCGATACAGGGCACATGCAAGATGCATCAAAGGGAGATAACAAGCAAATATCTAATTGCCTCGTTGTCAAAATAGATCTAGAGTCTTTACTCTGTTCCAAACACAGTTTTTACGAGTACATGTATTTTACAGGATGAATTAAAGAATAGTATGTCAACACTTGAAACAACATTTAGTGGACTTCCGGTAAGATTTTCTTTATTCTTATTAATGTGAATTGTTGAAATGTTGTTTACAGTAAAATTTACAGTTTACCATATAAACTGATAATGACAATGTAAATTGTTAAATAACAGAACAAAATGTAAATTGTTGAAACGTTGTGTACAATAAAACTCAGGAGTAGTATATCATATAAACTGATGATGACAATGTAAATTGTTGAAACGTTGTGTACAATAAAACTCAGGAGTAGTATACTATATAAACTGATGACAATGTCAATTGTTGAAATGTTGGAGTAGTATATTATATAACCTTAACATGGCAATATTGACATATATAACGCTTGGTTCAAGTCGACTGGCTATTCAAGCATTCCATCGCATCTGTCACAGTGCTCCTATGTTGACTGTTGGTGAAATTCCCCCAGATTCTACCAATAATTTGTCGATCAAGCTGGACAGTATCTGTTCAAACTAAAATGTATTCCTGTTTATTGTAGGCAAAGATAGATGATTTAAAGACCAGACTGATTAATGTAGAAACTGCTCTACAGACCAATGGTAATGCAATACTACAAGGAGTAAGTATATCAATTACAACAAACAATTCCTTGAAGAAATCTGAAAGAAAATTCTATACATAGAAACTTTAGGATATCCTATAATATGATTGATTGTGTATTTCTGACTGATTAGGATAACCCTCTTCGTCAATGTTTAAATACCAGTAGATCCTACCCATTTCAAAGAGTACGACAACGAGCACCTACATATAGAGGCGGATTGGATCCATTAGTAAAGGTTTGAGTAACAAAGCGTGATATTATGAAGATGATTTGGACGATATGATTTTGAGAATTTTGTTATATTTTCCAGGTTCTTGGATCGTATTCACAGAGAATATTTTCTATCGTTGATTCACTGATTTCCAGAGCTGTTGATGGGGTAGGTTATTTTAAAAAAATTTTTAAATATTTGAAGAAGAGTTGAAGCCAGGTCATGAAATCTTGAACAATTATTGTCAGTCACACAAAGTATAGTACCCGTTAATCTCTCCCAAGTTCTTAGCCTAAGGGGGTTCAAAAGTCAATGCAGCTTATGATGTCTTTGAGATTTTATCTGTTCTAAGCCAAATTCCAGTGATCGTGAATCTTTCCCAAGTCTGTAGGGAGATTATAAAATTATAGATAATTAGATATCCTTAGTCTCACAATTCCTAGCGAATTTTAAACCGCACCCCTAATTAATGTTTAGTTGGGTCGAGTTTCTCTTATGTGTGTTCATGTTTACAAACCAAATCGTCTGTAGAAGTTTGTTCATTGGCTGCTTTGAAAGTCACGTGACATGGATATTAATTACCCTAGTCTTGAAGAGACTATACACAATATAAAACCATGGTGCTATGTAGGTTTAGTGCTATTAGTGTTATTGATATAAAAACATGACACGTTCAGGTTTGATATTGTAATTTTGAATTCTATTTCAGTTGAAGAATGATATAGCTAAATGTACACCAATCTATAATCTCTACCAGTCTGTCATTGTTATAGGAATGTGTAAATACGTTCTAGATGCATTTGTAAGTTGTTAGTTTTTTGTGTTAATTGGTCGAGAAATACTGAAATACTTTCATATTTTATTTTTCTTACACAGATGATTGCAATAAAAATTCTGTACAAGCAAGACAATTCCGCAAATCTCGTTCAAAGTATGGTAAAATCGGGAGTAAAGAAAAATCAAACCTTGAGTTGGAGTCAATTTTCTTACATAAAAACTAGAATGATGAAAATTGATACTTGATAAAGATTAATTGGAAAAACTAGACATGTGTTTCGATAATAAATAGTTTTATTTAGTCTTATTTGTAATAAATATATCCAAATTAGTTTTTCATGGGTCCATCGTACAATCTGAAAGTAAATATATAATTTGCATTACACTGACACAAATGAGCGTAAACAATATCTGGGACTGACCGAAAACACTTTTAAACAAACATAATACCATATGCAGTCGTTTAAACATCAAAAATATGGAAATAGCACCGAACTCTCAAAGCACATTTGGCAACTTAAACTGAAAAAATAATAATTACAAAATATCCTGGTCCATTGATAGAAGAGCTAAAGCCTACACAAATAAAACCAAACGATGTAACCTGTGTCCAACCAAAAAACTTTCCATTATTAAAGCCCCTAAACACACTTCTCTAAACAAACATTTCGAACTCGTCTCGAAGTGTAGACATGAGAATAAGTTCTACTAAAGTTCTACTTGTCCAGTAGAGACACAGGCTGAATTATATAGGTCAGTTGTCTGAAGATCACATAGCGTGAAACTCCCGAGTAACAACAACATGTATTTTTATATTTAATAATTCTATTTTACATTGAATTTAATCTCGTATTATATTAATAATATTTTCAGAACGGTTTCTGGTTCTCTGTTGGTTGGTGTATATTTTTCTTTGTTCCCAGTACCATCTTTGCTGTGAAGCTAGCCAAACATTATCGTAAAATGAGATTTCTGGATGACTACGATTCAACTCTACCGTAAGTTTGTTATTGCAATTTTTTTCTGAATGTGAGTAAGTTATACTGTTATGTATCTGAAATGAAATAATGTTTTATATCCTACTGTTCTCTATCTTATTGGACTAATGAAATGAAATGGAGTTTTATATCCTACTGTTCTCTATCTTGTTGGACTAATGAATTGAAATGGTGTTTTATATCCTACTGTTTTCTAGCTTATTGGATTAATGAAATGAAATAGAGTTTTATATCCTACTGTTCTGTATCTTATTGATCGAATGAAATGAAATGGAGTTTTAAATTCTACTGTTCTGTATCTTATTGGACTAATGAAATGAAATGGAGTTTTAAATTCTACTGTTCTCTATCTTATTGAACTAATGAAATGGAATAGAGTTTTATATCCTACTGTTCTGTATCTTATTGGACTAATGAAATGAAATGGAGTTTTATATCCTACTGTTCTCTATCTTGTTGGACTAATGAAATGAAATGGTGTTTTATATCCTACTGTTCTGTAACTTATTGGACTAATGAAATGAAATGGTGTTTTATATCCTACTGTTCTCTAGCTTATTGGATTAATGAAATGAAATAGAGTTTTATATCCTACTGTTCTGTATCTTATTGGACTAATGAAATGAAATGGAGTTTTATATCCTACTGTTCTCTATCTTGTTGGACTAATGAAATGAAATGGTGTTTTATATCCTACTGTTCTGTAACTTATTGGACTAATGAAATGAAATGGAGTTTTATATCCTACTGTTCTGTATCTTATTAGACTAATGAAATGAAATGGTGTTTTATATCCTACTGTTCTCTAGCTTATTGGATTAATGAAATGAAATAGAGTTTTATATCCTACTGTTCTGTATCTTATTGGTCGAATGAAATGAAATGGAGTTTTATATCCCACTGTTCTGTATCTTATTAGTCTAATGAAATGAAATAGAGTTCTATATCTTACTGTTCTGTATCTTATTGACCTAATGTAATGGAATGGAGTTTTATATCCTACTGTTCTGTATCTTATTAGTCTAATGAAATGAAATAGAGTTCTATATCTTACTGTTCTGTATCTTATTGACCTAATGTAATGGAATGGAGTTTTATATCCTACTGTTCTGTATCTTATTAGACTAAGGAAATGAAATAGAGTTTTATATCCTACTGTTCTCTATCTTATTGAACTAATGTAATGAAATGGTGTTTTATATCCTACTGTTCTGTATCTTATTGGACTAATGAAATGAAATAGTGTTTTATATCCTACTGTTCTGTATCTTATTGGGCTAATGAAATGGAATAGTGTTTTATATCCTACTGTTCTGTATCTTATTGGACTAATGAAATGAAATGGTGTTTTATATCCTACTGTTCTCTATCTTATTGGGCTAATGAATTGAAATAGAGTTTTATATCCTACTGTACAGTATCTTATTGGGCTAATGTAATGTAATAGAGTTTTAAATCTTACTGTTCTGTATCTTACTGGATTAATGAAATGAAATAGAGTTTTATATCCTACTGTTCTGCAACTTATTGGGCTAATGAAATGAAATGGCGTTTATATTTTACTGTTCTGTTTCTGGAACAGTGGAAAAAATGCAGTTTCATGTCTCATTATCTGTATCTGTTTGATAAAATAAAACGGTGTTTTACGTCCTCCTGATCTGCACAGCTAACTGATGAACAAGACCTAGTGGAATAGAATAGAATAAATAAACCAAGTATTAGGATCCGAACCGCAAAACGAAACCCGAAATCCAAAACCAACCAGCTATGGGCGACGAAAGGGTTAAACACAATTAAAACATTTGTCTGTTTTTTTTTTCAGATCGAAGAACAATGATGTTATTAGAAATGGAAGGTGAGTGTTCTGTTGTTTCCATTTGTGACAATTACAGCTTCTTTACATTACAATATTCAAAGCTTTCATCGTCTATTAATCATCAGCATGCAAAAGGAAAAAAATGCTTTGCTGTATTCTGTAATTTGCATGGCAATCAGGATTGTTTAAAAATTTGCATAAGCGGACATAGTAACTCAGACATGACAGGTTAATATCGTCAAATCGACATGCCTGGTAAATGCATTAAATCAACAGTCCTGATGTATATCAATCACATCATGCATGAATAATTTTTTTTTTGACTTTTATCACCTAGCGATCCGCCACCGGCTTATAATTATAGGTATGCTTTATATATATATATATATATATATATACTCAATGTTTATTCGTTTGTTAATTAACTTGTCATTCTTTTAGTCGAGCCTGAATATGTTTTGCTCGACATCTAGATTTTATATTAACATGATTGAGGCACCGAGTCCTGGACGCAAATCGGTGTTCCGTTTTCACAACTTTTTTTTTTGTAATACAAAAAACTCTACAGGGGCCATGGAGAACGGCAGCAGTTGTCCGGACTTAAATCTAGCATTCGTTTCAATGGCGTTCTATCTGAAAAACGCTTTTACAAGATTTGTATCAGTATCTTAACATTAGTTTTTTTAATATGATTTTTTTCTGTTTGTAAATATCAAACCCTGTCATAATTATCCATAATCTTTTATTTGTCAGTCCACCACCGGCCTATAATTTTGGAGACGGGTAATTTTTCAGGTTTTTTTTAAATGATTCATAAATGTTAGAATTAATATTGTAAAAACTAAAACCTTTAACTTTCTTCACTCGAGTCTTTCCTCTTTTAGATTTTTAGTCAGTCGAATTCTTTACTCTTTTCCTTTCATTATTCCAAACATAAATAGTATAATTATCCTTTCTTTAAACACAATATTTAAATAGAGATTATCGTCTTACTTTACTGTATCTTGAATTTCAATGGATTTTAACCCTTTTCTTATAGATGAATTGAAGTTATGCTTATTACTTTCTGTACCTTTTTCGTTTAAGGAATCGAAACCTCTTTTACACCTTAAAAGCTAATGAATGAAATTGGTCTTTTACTTGTCTGGTTGTTTGTATCTTGCTGGATAGATGAAATTGGGTTAAATACTGTTCTGTTCCATTAGGCCACTGAGTTTTACATCATATTTTTCTGTATCTTATTAGACTAATGAAATGAAATGGAGGTTTAAAGTTTATTTTTCTGTACATCATTAGACTAATGAAATGAAATGGAGTTTTACATCATATTTTTCTGTATCTTATTGGACTAATGAAATGAAATGGAGTTTTACATCTTATTTTTCTGTATGTATGAAGACTCTAGACGATATTCTCTTGACAGAATTTTTGCTAATTTTGTGTAATTATTAGGGTATTACTTTATTCTTCTTCAATTTCTCTCTCCAGTTCCGCTCGAAACTGTTAAGGCTAGAACATTTTTGGCATCGCGCCAGATATTTCAAAACTCGTGATTAGAAATGAACTGTATTTCCAGACACCAGTTTGCAACCGGAAGTGAAGTCAAAAATGCACTTAATACAAATTATTAATTGAAATTTTCAATTCAAACTTATGTTATCTTGAAAGAACATCTGAATATTCTTCAGGTTCAGAAATTCGAAAAATAATTGAAAACATTGTTTGTTCCACACAATTTTAGTGGATCGAATCCAAATTTAAATTCCAAAATGCCTGAAATGACTACAAACGTCGAGTGAATAAAAAATTCAGTTTGCTCATTTTCTACCTCTGCTGTGTATGCAAACCCTATCTGTTTCTTGAAATTTGCAGATGAAAGAATTTAATACTAACGATATTTTTGATCTCTTTAAAATTACAATTTGGAAAATTATCCAGGTCCTCAAGAATTCCTTTATCAATTTCGAATTCCCAACTTCCTTCAAAGATTTTTCTGATAGGCCACAAACCGAAAGCGCATTTCTTTTAACCTTGACCTTTGACAACCTTCACCTTTCTACAACAAAACATCTTATTTGGCTACAATTTCATGTTAAACCTACATTGTTTTTAGTTTGAAATTATGGTATTTAACTTCTCATAAGCTTTCCAACAATGTCTTTATTTTAGGTTTGAAAATGGTTTTGATATTTCTAAGTACTCTTGTTTTAATTAATGTAGACTCTATTCTAACAGAATTATTACAAATTCACAGTTTTAAGTAAATACATAAAATGAAATATTTTGCATAATCATTATTTATATTATTTTTTAACACCTGCATAAGACAAGATAATAAAACAGGGAGTAAGGAAGTTTATGTATCAGGGTCAAAAGTCAATTGATGCTAATGGCACACTTTGTGGCTTAAATGGAAAATCTAAACAAATGGCAGATGTTTGAATATGTTAATGTTTTTAACGAAAAATGTGGAAATTTCCGACTAGTGTAGTTTACAATTTCTTTCTTAGTAATCTAGGTTAAAACCTAGATTACTAAGAAAGAAATTGTAAACTACACTTGTATTGTAAATTTCCACTTTTATCTAGTTATACACTTAGTTTAGCTTTAGATTGGTTTATATCGCACATTAATATTAACTCATGTACATGTAGTCTATTTAGGTTGTTGGCTGTTACAGAGTCAGATAAACTAGGCCCTGTTTTATGGGGATTATCTACACCTCCTAAGATGCGTTTTTCTAACAAAATATTAAATTACGATGACTGTAAATTAGTGTTGGGCCTCACCGTAACTTTCGTTTTGCTAGTATCATTTGACCTTACGACCATTTAACTTTTAAATGGCCGACGGGAAATCAAATTCGGTAAGAAACACTTTTATGGAACCGCATAGTGACATGAATGGTGCTACTGTAGGGATGTGATTATGATGGTATAACTGAACTATAAAAATATCCATCGTTTCGAAAATATCTGAGTTTAGCGGATCCGATTAAATAAATAGGTTTAAAAACCCCACACTTTCGGAGGTCTAGTTTTGCTGTCTCGACACCAGCCGACAACTTACAAAATTTCAAAATATCATGGTCTGATGTTTCGGTCTAGTAGTCTTTCTCTATCGTCTACTTCAGAGATAATGGGTGTTTACAGCTGTACATATTACTATTCAAAATGAAAATTCGACTTACTGTTTGCATACAATTAAAAAGGAAGGGTCGCCAGCTTCTGTTTTATTTAGAATTCATTTAGTACAGACGATCTGGGTCTTTTCATTCTGATAGGTGATACAGATAGCTGCAATTGAGATAAGATCCATTGGGCCGATCGATCTTTACGAAAGTCGTGCTTAAATTTGACTATCAAATGTAGAAAATGAAAGGCTTAATCCTAACTTTGCAAAGTTCGACTTTAGCCAAAGTTCAACTTTAGTCAAGGTAAGAGCGCTGCATACGGCCCATTGTCTATTAAGTTAATCCTTGCAATTAAGGTAAATACCTCAACAATCATGTACTTGCTCCACCAAAAGAATCCAATAGTTGTTCTTCACTCTGCACTGTAAATAAATATAAAAACTAAGTCAACCTAACAATACGAATTTATGCAAAAAATTATTGGAACCAGTTTTGGGAATTGTTTTGATTTTGACCGATGAATTATTGATTCAAGTCACATAATTCTTATTGGTTTAATGGATTGGTATGGTTTTAAATTCTATTGTTTGGTTAATGCAATGGAAATTGTATTGAAATATATTTTTTTTTGTATTTTTCAGAAATAAAGTAGGTCATTCTGATAAGTTTTAAGAAGAAGAAGAAGATGAAGAAGAAGAGATGAACGATCCGTCCATGTCGATTGAACATTGTTTTTATTTGTTTGTTTTAAAGTTTTTATTATAACCTGTGATCTAATGATAAATTGTTTGCTCACATATCAAATTCTTTTAAAGAAATCAAAATATACTGTACATGCTTAATGACATAACTATTTATCTATTTCTCATTTTCTATTTCTACAAATTTCAACAAAACATGATAGATGTTTTTAGATCAGGATTTTAACTAAAGCTCAAAGATGTGCACATCAGAGGACGAATCTCAAAATAAACTACAACAGTAAACTTTACTTTCAGATAGAAAAAATATTACTCTTTTTAACTGGACAAGAACAGTCCATTATGTTCAGATATGAGGCCATTGAAGGTCAACATTTTCACGCTTTAATTAGTACTTTAGCCACATAGAAATAAATTGTTTGTGTTTACTTTTCGAATCGTCCATCATTTGCACATAATATTCGTGGCCTCTAATGGTATAATGTCAAAGGTTGTCAGAAGGGCACCAAGAGGCTCAATAAATGCTGACACAACAAAACGAAACGAACCATGTCGATCTTCTAAACAATATTCTGTTTCTTATGAGTGTTTAATACACAACAGTCCATTCAAAATATGTCGCACCTATATTATATTAATATGTTTTCGTTACGCATGTTCACAATCTTTGAAGGTTTTCAGAGAAATAGTTCAAAATTGTTAACATTTACAAAATGACTTTATGTATATAATCTTTTATTGCCAAATTAATGTGAATTTTTAACTATTTTATCGGTTTTAAGACATTGTTTTTACATGCGAAACTCCATCCAAAACAATCATAATCGTTCAAAGCTTTTTGTGAAATTTGTAAAGATTATCAATATTTAAGAAACGGCCTTTATCGAGAATAATATTTGGGTTATATCCAAATGTTGATTTATTTTAATAAATATTTTAAAACATTCTTTTACAAATGATAGTCCATCCATACTTGTATACATTCAGAATTTTCAAGCCAATTAGTAACCTTGTGTTTCTACAATATGACTATATATATACTGAAATAAGTAATATTTATTATGTGAAGTTGGGTTGTTCACAAAAATGTAGTTTTATAGGTAAAGCGAGGAAAAATATGAAACCATGTTTTGAATTTGAATTTTGGAGACAGGTGGTCTTGTAACAATATTTTGAAGTGAAAGTATGTTGTTTTTTACGTCCCACTTTTCTGGACCTAATTGGCTAATGAAACGTCCAAAACGTATTGTCATTTAGAAATATATTCAGAGACCTGTATCATGTCTACCCGAGGCCTTCTAAACCCGTTCTTAAATCCGTCCTGAATTTTGTAATTTGGAAATATTTAACTTTTTTAGATTTAAGTAAAATTATTTTGTAGACTTTTTAAATGAAACATTCCACAGGAAAATTGTATGGTATTTTTTGTTATTGATTTGTACTATTTGACTGTAGATATATCTGTGATAGAAATGCACTAACGACCTGGCCCGGAATCTGAGGTACCACGCCCACAATGTCTCTCGACAAATAAAAAAATATCTGTCTGTCCTAATGGAAGTACAACACGTCGGGCCCAGGGCCCTGTTACGCAAAACATCTTACGATAAGAATTTGTCGAAAGTGTTGAATTTTACAATAAATAATGCAAAACTTACGACAAAATTTATCGTAAGATTTCTTGTGAAACGGTACCAGCATTTTGTTGTTGATGAAAAACAGAACACGGATACGTCCTGGAATTATCACATATTAAGATTCTGGAAATCTAAGTTTTCAGTGAGTTTTCATGGTCGTAACTACCTATATAACCAACGAGGCAAAGTTCTCATGGCGAATTTGACAAAAACAGGAAAGATATGATGTCTACGGACAAGGTGGTTACTGTTTAAAGTAGGGGGTAATTTTGAAATGTTTAGGGGTATTGAGACGCTTTGTAATCTAGCATAAAATTTGTGGACAATTATATCTTAAATTGTTGTTTTCAATTAGACTATATTCTGCACGTGAAAAAGAAAAACCACGAAATAGAAGGGTATTCAAGGGTAATGAAATCGATCAACGATCCTGAAAGGGGTAAAGGTTGAAAAGCCCTTGTTTAAAACCAACCCGGACATCTCTTCCAACAAAAGTTGCCTCATAGTACAAAGACCATAGTTACAGCCCTGATGGTTGTTTCAATGGAAATGTTTTGTTTGTGTTTTTTTTAATCAGAGAGTTTATTTCAAATGATTAACTTTCTCATGACTTGAAATCTTATGTTTGCTCAACCGTTGTTAATTTGTGCTTAATAAAATATCTAACTTCTTGATGGTGTTTTGTTTCTCACACCACATACCCCACCAGACACCGTCGTCTATTCCCAGCTTGACAGCTTTACTCAATGGCACGTCGTCTATTTCAAGCTTGACAGCTTTACTCAATGGCACGTCGTATATTCCCAGCTTGACAGCTTAACTCAATGGCACGTCGTACATTCCCAGCTTGACAGTTTTACTCAATGGCACGTCGTCTATTCCCAGCTTGACATCTTTATTCAATGGCACGTCGTATATTCCCAGCTTGACAGCTTTACTCAATGGCACGTCGTCTATTTCAAGCTTGACAGCTTCACTCAATGGCACGTCGTCTATTCCCAGCTTGACAGATTTACTCATTGGCACGTTGTATATTCCCAGCTTGACAGCTTTACTCGATGGCACGTCGTCTATTTCAAGCTTGACAGCTTCACTCAATGGCATGTCGTATATTCCCAGCTTGACAGCTTTACTCAATGGCACGTCGTATATTCCAAACTTGACAGCTTTACTCAATGGCACGTCGTCTATTCCCAGCTTGACAGCTTTAGTCAATGGTGTCAAAACCAGGCCCGAATTCAGTCCCTGGTCAAAACGACACAGATAAACCCTTCTGTTCTTAAGTTGATTCAAAAAGTAAGTAAAGATTCTACATTTTCATAATTTTATTAAGCTCTAAAGTAACTACAATAATAAATAGGTAGATAAATAAAACTCATTTAAAAAATAATCAATGATATGTTTTCTCTGTAATATAGTAATATAGAGCGATATAGAAATATTAAATCAGAAAATAATAATAGATTTGTCGTCGATCATTGTGGGCACGTACGTCTGGTCTCTAAAATGCGCAATCCCTAACGGAATTGGACAAAACCTTGACTTGGACAGGACATTATCAGCCAAGGATGGATTCCATTGAAAGATAAAAAAATCGAAAAATATTAAATATATGCCCTTGTTCCTGAAAACGCGTTTAATCTTTACTTTGTTAATACTACAGAAGGTACAATGTTTGACGAGTATGGATGAAACCTGATGACCCTATCGAAAAACAAAATAATCTCTTCACTCTATAACTAATGTAAAAGAATCTGGGTCAAGAAAATAAGAAAAATACAATGAAATTTGGAATTTGCGCCGATCAACTCTGTATACTTTGAAATATTCATATTATAATCTTAAAACAGAGTCTAAGCGAAATGTTATAGTGAAAGTAAAATAAATATTTCGTAATGTTTAAAAAAATAGAACAAAATAAAGCTATAGAGCTCAATACATCAATTGTAGAGCGATATAGAAATACCACTGTTAAAATAGTACTTAATACATCAATTGTAGAGCGATATAGAAATACCACTGTTAAAATAGTGCTCAATACATCAATTGTAGAGCAATATAGAAATACCACTGTTAAAATAGTGCTCAATACATCAATTGTAGAGCGATATAGAAATACCACTGTTAAAATAGTACTCAATACATCAATTGTAGAGCGATATAGAAATACCACTGTTAAAATAGTACTCAATACATCAATTGTAGACCGATATAGAAATACCACTGTTAAAATAGTACTCAATACATCAATTGTAGACCGATATAGAAATACCACTGTTAAAATAACGTTAAATACATCAATTGCAGTGCGATAATAGAAATATTAAATATACCTAAAAACTAAAGAAAAACTTAAGCCAGGTTATTTCGAATTATTATTTATTGGTGTTTATTTCCATCTAGCCTCCTGAAAAATATACATGGTATAAAATAGTATAAAATAATAATATCGAAATCTCACTAACCATCGTATCCCGCATACAGACTATGACAAGGTTGACGATTGTTAAGGAAGGTTGTTTTGAACAAGATGCTCAAACGTACCTGCTCACTTTTCGCCTGTAATTGGTCCAAAACAAAAAAAAATTTACAATAACTTGCTAAATATTGTCTTTATGCTTTTTGTTTAGAAAAAGTGACGATTACAAACATTTCCGTGTGCATTATGTTACTATAAAGTCTTTAAGGTCTCAGATAGAACATTTTTAAAATACAGGGAAGATAAATTTAATATAATTCCTTGAGACACAGTTTGTGTCTTTCATCTTCGTAAAAACTGTCACATTCTTTTACTTTGTCTTCATAAAAAAAGAAAAGATATTCCATTTTAACATCATTTTCAACTCATAAAGGCATAGTGGTAAGAACTATCCAGTTTAGATAATAAAATGTTTACCTTTAATATACATTTATTTTTTTTCCCCCATGTGTTAAAGGCTTTCTGAGCACGTTCAATTTCTTCTGGATTTTCTTCTTCTTCTTTATAGTACATACACATCACGTGTTCTTCAAAGATTTGGGGTAATATGCGAGATACCTACATATAAAAATGCGAATAAACTAGACCTTTTCGGATTATTGTAGATTAAGAGCTCTAGTACGCTGCACATCATTGTTGCCGCAAAGTATACAGAAAAATCCAATTTGCACCAAGCAATCAACTAACTAGTGTTACACGAAAGTTTGGTGTGCATTTGTCACATTCTGTCAGCAAGTTGTATATATTCTAGGTCGATATGCTCTTCCAATATGACCAACTTGGTTATTGTACAGACATTATTGTAGTAGACATGATGGTGTCAGAATCATAAACCAGTCATTGTTTCTTTGGCCTGTCAGCGCCTTACACGTGGGGTACAGGCCACCTATCTTAAGTCTTCGGTAGGTAGATACATAAGGGGTAGAAAAGGTAGGTTCTGCTTCGTGTACAAATTTAGAACTACAGACGCCCATGCGAACCTGGATTGCTGTTATTTCTTTTGCTTCTTTTGGGTTGGATTTGGAATAAAACCTCATGTTATCCACCGGATTCTTGTCTTTCATGCTATAATCAAAGTCCACAAACTGAAACAAACGAGAATAACGAGAATACTCCTTTTAAGATTGACTGAAGACGTTGAAACACCATAACCCTATGACGTTTGTGATTACCAACAACAATTATACCATTTCTACTGCATACATACACAGTCAATGCACCTAATTTATCAATCAATGTTAATAATATATATTAATATAAGTAAAATCTTTTCGCTGTTTTTTAAGGTTCTGTTTTAATATTTCTACGTTAATCCTGAATATTGTGAGAATGAAACATAAAATTATTTCTTACCTTCATTACGATCTTATCAGCAGACAAAGAGTTATCTATATTCTTGATTTGTCTAAAAGTGCTTTTTTCTACCTCCTGAAGGTTTGAAACAAAGTTAAGGAGGTGATAGGAATAGCAAGTGTTTTTCTAATTTTACATTAAACTTTCAATGTGTACCAGGGACACTGATAGCATCAATTTCCACCATCCCAATTTTCTATCAGACCGTATGTTGGTGGGTGGCCTACATGTTCTAGCCTCTAGTGTTGACACAATCAATTTATCAAAAAATCCAAGACATAGAATTGCAATGGCAAATTAACAAGTAAGAAACGTGTAAGGCGCCTTGAGGATGCTGGTTGTGTTTTTATTGCTCTGTCATTTTTAGTCTTTTCTGTGCTATTAATAATTCTACAAATATGGATTTTTGCAAGGAAATTCATAAAGGACTATCGAATATGATTGGAATATATTTGTTCACGTTTGATATAGGGTTGCTTTTGTGGAGTTCTTTATTTAATTTTATTCATGTAAATTTCCTGCTATGATGATGTCAACAACGGTTAGTTACTATAGAGATAATCATCAGTCCTACTGCGATGGACCATTGAAAAGTACTGATCTGAATCGTGATACTAGTTGTTTTAGATTCGGGGAAGGGAGGGTGATTTACTAGGGTGCTCTGCCTACATTATGGTGAATATTTAGTCTTATAGGTCTTGCTGTATTCAATGTCTCAATCAAATGGGCTTCCCAAGATTGACGGAATTTGGTAGTTTCAACTTCGTGCAAGTCAATTTCTATGCGCTCAATTGGGATTAGGGTGAGATCGTCTATTGAATGGTCGTCAAGGTTGAAATGATTAAAAACAGTTTCTGGTGTAAAAGGACATGCATAAAGCCTGTTTTAGCTGCTATCTGTGCTTAAGTGGAATTTTTTATGTTTCGTAAAATCGTTTAGAGTTCCCACTCCCTTTCAGTTTTGAGAAAACAATCGTACAGACTTGGTCGAAATCAGAAGTTTTGTGCGAATTCGGTGAATTAATTATACCAGAAAAGGTATGTTTTGGTTGAAAGGAGCTCTTGTGCAAGAGTTAATGAGTATCAGTTTCTTTGAAATAAACTTTAATATCCAGTTTATTTGTTTCTGCTATGGAATCTCCCTTAAAGACAGTGGTATCTAGAAAGTCTATGCTTTTGTCACTCACGTTGGCGGTTAGTTTGACGGAAGGATGGCGGTTGTTGAGATTTTCAAAGAATTGCCAAAACTGTTCGATAGAATAAGTCCAAACCATAAAAATGTTAAAAGCGTCAGTAAAAAAGTGGGTCAAATGGACAGAGGGCCAATACCTCATGTTCTCACTCTGCTATGAAAGTGCGAATCGTTTGCCCATAGCTGTCCCTGAAGTTTGTAAATATGTTTTACCATTAAATGTGAAATCGTTTCGACTGAGACAAATATCTAAAAGCTGTAGAATTGCACCGTCTGTTTGGATCTGGGTTTCTATTAAAAGGTTTACGAACTGTCGTTAAACCAGCAGTGTTATCGATATTGGTATACATAGAAGGAACGTCGATAGAAATTAAAATAGCATTAGAAGAAAGATTTTTTATTTTATTGACAAAATCCGTTGTGTCTTTAAGGTAGGCGCGATGTTGACATGCTAGAGGTAGTAAGAAATGATCAATGTATTCTGACACCGCATATGACTCACTACCACAGTCAGATATAATCGGGTGGCCTTTAGGGATTTTATTAGAGATAAACCACTCCTTGGTTGGATTCTTATGGATCTTAGGCAAATTATACAAATGTTTCTCATCACAATCGGGTTTGGCAGACAGATAGTCATATTGTTTCTGTTTGAGATGACTAGTTTTGACTAAATCGGCAAGAATATTGTTAATCATAATAGCAGTTTCTTTGAAAATTGGTTTCGGTAAAATGACATAATGTTTAGGATTATTCAGTTTATTATCTACTTCTGAAACGTAATCCTCCCTATTCAGAATGACACAACATGAGCCTGTGTCACTCTTTTTAATGACAATGCTATCGTCTTTCTTAAGTAAGTTTAACGCTGAGATTAGGTGGCCCACGGGGATTTAGGAATAAACATTGTTCTAGCACCACGTGGAGCAGCTAAGATTTCGTTGAAAAGGTTCAATAGATGGTCAGAGATAATTAAAGTTGGCTACCTTCGGTGTCGGAATAAACTTAAGTCCACGGTCTAAGATTGAATGCTGAATTGATGTGAGAATTTTAGTTAGTTAATTTTAGTAAAGTTAACTACAGTTTTGCCTAGCGGTAGCCCCCAGTAATTCGTGGTAAGACTTACTCGATGCTTGAAGCTGGTGTATCCAAAACAAATAAACACAGTTTACTGTTTCTGGAGACCAATAAAGGTTGTCAACTTGTTCGAATTCTCCTTCATAGGGTGGTAAGATTGTTGCGCTGCGGGTATCGGACTCTAACATCATGTTGTTGAGGGTACTGGGGTTCTGTTGTGCTTTCTTCGAGATTTTATTGGAGATGGGTATACATGTGATGATAATCTTGGAGTTTGTTTTGGCTGTAGCGATTAATTTCTGGGCTTGATTAAAGGAGGTCTTTGGTTGCTGATCACGGTTGTTGAGGCCTACTTGCAGAATAAAGGTACTTGGTTTGGGATCATGGTCGTATGATTCAAGGATGGACTGTATGTGGTGGATTTGGGCACCGGGGTCAGAATGTACACAATCTCACAACTGTAAAAACTGAAGCCATATATAACAACAGTAAAACACTATTTCAACTTATGCTTACTAAATGCAATATGTTTGAAGGCCTGTTGTTGGACATGTGGATCACTGAGCTGACTCATATCCCTGAGAGTCACTGTCGATGTCTAGGGACTACATTACCAAAAGATGTATCAATTCTAATCATCACTTCCGGTAGAGGTATTATACTGAAGTGTGAGCGAATTGTCTTATGTAGACGATATAGCGATAGGTTTGAAGGTCTGTTGCTGGACATGTGGGTCTTTGAGTTAACTATTGAAGTTTCCCTTTTATCGACATTCGAACATCTTCTATGAAGAGTGCGATATTTTTACGAACAAAAATATCGATTTAAAGCAGAAAAAATTATCCGATTGCGATGAAATTTGGTGAGAATACTCAGAATAGGGTCTAGAACATCATCCTGTCGTATTTTAGTGGATACAAAATTGAGATCATTAAAAGGTACATAAGTGAAGTAGCGCCGCAATGTCATCTACACTGGTTGGCCGAACGAACGTTTTGATTGTCCACAGGTTGTGACTGACTTTTGGAACTACAGAGATGAACTCTCTATCATCAATGGGGTCATCTTCAAAGGTACCAGAGTGGTCATTCCAAGTCGACTTCGTCCAACAATGCTTCAAAAGATTCACACAGGTCATCTTGGACAAGAAAAGTGCAAACAACGAGCTCGTGAGGTGATATTCTGGCCAAGAATGAATCACGAGATAGACATCATAGTAAGCAGCTGTGACATATGCCTGACACATCGACATCGGCAGAGAACCGAACCTATGATTTGCCGTCCCGTAGCAATGAGACCATGGGAACAAGTGTCGACAGACTTGTTTGAGTTACGGTCAAAAGATTACATCGTCATAGTCGATTCATATTCTAACTACACTGAGGTGATTGCACTATCAAGTCAAACAAGTCAAGCTGTCACCAAAGTTCTCAAATCTACATTCCTGATGAGCTTTACAGTGATAATGGGCCATGTTTTGCCAGTGCAGAATTTGCTAAGTTCGCAAGTACTTGGCAATTCAAACACATAACATTTAGTCCTAGGTACCCCCAGTCTAATGGGTTGGCTGAAAAAACTGTACAGACGGTTAAAAATATAATCAAGAAATGCACAGAAGGTGGAGAAGACCCTCATCTTGGACTGTTAGCATATCGCACTACACCACTGGATTGTGGATTCTCACCATCACAGTTACTGATGAATAGTCGACTGAAATCCAACTTCCCTCTGAAAACCTCCATACTGCTTACAAACCCTTCAGATACTCAGACAGTAATAGCTCACAAGTATGAAGCTAGAGAGAGGCAGAAACACTACTTTGACCAGAAGGCTGAAAGTGTTTCTTTACCTCAACTCCAGCTAGACAGTAATGTCAGACTTCACAATGACACCTCGAATAATTGGAAAACTAAGGGAGAGATAATCCAGGAAGTAGCACCACGTTCATACTTAGTGAAAACAGACCATGTGGAACCATCAGAAGAAACCGCAGAGATCTACTACTTCCCAATCAGACTATCAGTGATCAATCGACCCAACCTCCTACAGTTCCGATGCAACATCAATAACGGCAAGCTAACAACTCTGATGTCACAACAACCAGATCCGGCATAGTGATAAATAGACCAGAGAGACTGATAGTAAAAAATGACTGACATGTGTCGGACATAATTGTGTTCAGATTATTTCTCAAGACTGTTCTATTGACTTTAAAAGTTTTCACATAGTGTTAAGTTGAAGTTATGTCCACAAGTTTCATATTCATTCTTTGTATTCATTTATCATATTGACGAGTTAAAGCAAACTCATATCGTGTTCTTTTAATTTTGAGTTGTAGCAGTATTGTTTTGTTTTATAGACTTTTAACTTTAGAGGGGAGAGGTAGTAATAAGTCAATGTACATTGTTGGAGTTGATTCCCTTTAATTGTATTGTTCATACCAACAAGAGTTGTTTACCTACCAAAACAACATGTGGATTTTGACTCATTAAGTTCAAACCTCCTAACCAGAAGTTTGCAGACTATTACATTATCATTATGTGGTTCTTGCATTTCCTCTGATGACATCACTAATCGACAAAAATGCTTGTATCACATAAGGATTAGTGATGTTATCAAGCAATTATTTTTTTGTGAAATTGCTGGAAACACAGACGGCGGATTGAAAATTGGAATGGAACTAATTGATGCTATCAGTGTCCCTTATATACATAGAAAGTTTGGAAACCTGATTTAATCAGTATTATTCGTATCACTCATTCCAAGTAGTCTACAAGAAATAATCAACCACAAGAGTATAGCTTTTAAGAATAGTGGTATTGATTGTACAAGACATGGTTCGCACCTTAGTTGTTCAAAATTAGGAAACAATACAACCCTAAACTATTCCTAATCAATATTGGCCTCACAAGATACTGAACTGGCCACCAAGATAATGTCTATCCAGGTGATTTGGTACATCGTAGACAACGATGTGAAAAACGTCAAAGAATTCTGATATAAAATCAGCTTCAAGCCTTACTTTTATCACAGCATATTTATTGAGTGGATCTCTTCTTTCCTTGTTTCTCTTTTCCTATTGAATAAACAAAATTAAACACAATTGCTTTGCATAGACATGATCATAAAAACTTTCTCTGCAATAAGTTAAGTAGTAGTAGTACTTTCCGATTTCAGGACATGACATTGCTTCCTTCGCAACAACGGTAAATCTACCACTACAACTGTTCAAGAGGGGAGCGAACACACCTGAAATAGCGTGAATCTATAAATACCACTACTACTGTACAAGAGGAGGAGTCGAACACAGTATATACTCTTTCAACACAGCTTTATTAATTCTTAAAAAAAATCATTACAAAAAATGTCTTTAATGACTATCCCATCTGTTGATAATCCTTCCACCAGCTCGAACAATTTCCTGTATGTCGACTGAAGTGAGAACGTCGTTACAATATCCATTTCTAAATCTTACCTTATCACCAGTTTTTGTTTGGGTTACATCGTCTTCTTTAACAGTATAAATTATTTTGTCTTTGGCTGGTATTGGTTGGAAAAACATATATATTCAAACCAAACAGATAAAATAGCACACCTTGGTCTAAATTGTTTGATTGTTTGAAAGCACTTGTCAATTATATCCAGCTGAGTGTTTTCGCCGTCCCTAAATACTTTTGCAACAGTCGACATATTTAATTTAATTTATTCGACCTGAATTTCATTATGTGTGCCGAAACTTTTTACAGAGCGTCTAACATAGTGTCTGATGAATGGATCTACGTGAGAACATACTTTTTCTCCTTTATATAAATAATACCAACCTCTAAGAAATAGAGAAGGTACACTTAAATTATCTATTCTAGTTTGATTTATCATAGATTTCATGACTTGTATTTTATTAAACATGCTGCTAAACATATAGTATATCTTTTAGCATAAGGCTCCCATTCTTCTATTCGAGATTCACAATTTGTTTCGTTAAATTCCGTGATATCTAGATCAGTCTTTCTTAAATTCATTGGTAATTCTGATGATTTTCCCCAATCTTTTAAATTGTTTCCTACATGTTGATAGGAACAGGTGAAATTTATCTTTTGAAAATAATTGTTTTTGTTGATAAATTTCTTTTCACTATTCCATTTTTTCTGTAAACTTGTTTCTTTAAAAGGATTAGATATTGCTAAACGAATTATACCTCTACTGGTTTTGAAAGGACAATGAGTTAATTTTTCCATGTTTTTAATAACAATTAAGCTATCAAAACCACTACCGTTGTGACAAATTAGAGTTAACTGTTTTTGATCGACGGAACCTAAATGTTGGTCTGGATAAACTCCATTTTTTTCCAGATTTACCAAAGTACAAGCTTAATATGGTGTTGCTTTGTCAGTCTCTTCCGTGTAAGTTTCACAATCCCACGCATACATAGTTTCAGGTTGTGGTGTTGGTGCATGAGTCGATGGATTAAATTCTGAAACAAATTCCAAACTTGTTTGTAGCTATTTTCTATTTCGTTTATTCCAAGAGTTTTTCACTTCTTTTTAACAAACAGAAATGATCATTGTGTAAATACAATACCCAATCTAATGGTGTTTTTATATTTCTAGGATATGAAGACCTATCTTTAGGATTATAAATTTGATATGTATCATTGAATTTTCCAATTCGAGCTTGTTTCATTATTCCCTTTCTATTATGTTTAGGAAAGGAATAAATAAAATCATTGAATTCCTGAGTCAAATCACGCTTTGAAACAAAATTGACACATTTAATAAAACATATTCCGTCAGATGGAATGTAACAATATTTTCCAATATATTCCTTGATACTAAAAAGCAGTTGAGTTCGTTTTTCTACTTTTGATCTTATGATTGGTTTGAAATTGTTTTTACGAAATATTAAACGACCAGTAAAATACCAATCTGTATTATCTGATTTTTCAGATATGTTCTTGACGACTCTTTCAATCATTTTATCATTAAAAAACGCTAATTGAAAATTATGCTTAAATTTAACATCTAGAAAAATTTCTCTATTGATTTCAATTTGACCTTTAAAGGATTTGAATTTATCAATCATGTCACGAATCACCTGATCAAATAATTCATTTTCAATCTTTTCATCTATTCTTGGTTTTTTTTTCTCTTTAATAGGTCTAAATTTAGGTGCTTTTCGTTTTATTACAAATTTAGGTGCTGTTTTTTTTATTACAAATTTAAGTGGTTTGCGCACGTGCGTGGCAACTTTTAGCTGTTTAATTCGTGCTCCCATTTCATACTGATTTTGTTTTGGAGATTTTCCCATGATTTTTTGAAAATTTATGCTCTATTCTAAAAGAATCAATTTTTTTATTTTTTAATATTTATTAGATTAAGCGTTTTTCAATAATTACTTAGTCTTATGAATTTTCCAATTTTCTAGATTTTACTCTGTTGTAACTTTATGACACCAGGTAAGTTCACTGATGAATATATACTCATATTGACCATTCTTGAGAATTAAATTTTATATTATCACTTTAAATGTTTTAAATTAATCCATGATATAATCCATTCTATTTCTATTTGATGTGCAGGAATTGTTATAAATAATTGATTTATGTGAGTTTTATAAATATCAATTGAAGTAAAAATACCATTAGAATAGAACATAAACCTTGTATATTTACATTCTTCCCATTTCAATAATGAATACGTATGTATTCCTTCTTGTCTTAGTTGAATATTTTTAAGATAAGTAAGTGACTTACTAATAATAAACCATACATATAATCAAATTTTACTGCTTCATCAAGATATATTTTATATTCAAACCCATCAACATATCTATTGGCATTTCATAAATATGGTCGTTTATAAAATTTTGAGAAATAGTTACTGATTTTATTTTGAATTCAAAAGGAAATAATACATTAATAACCACATTTATATTATTTTTTTCACGCATAATATCTATTGTAGTTGGGTTTGCTTAGCTAGAGCTATAAATCCTGCTAGTGTCATATAAAAGTCAGTTTTTGCAACAAATCAATACTGTTCACCTTCTATATTCCCTTTAAAGAGTACAGTTAAATAATAAGGATTTCTCTTTTCAAAATCTTTTATTAATATATCATTAATTGATTTAATTTTTTCTTTTTTTTTACAAACACCATTTCAATTTGATTGTCATTTGATTGAATTTTTTTATTAAATTCTTGAAACTTTTTTCCTGTTTTAGAAATTCGTTATTAATTATAGTTAACTGTTGTTGTAATCTATCTTCATTTATACCTGGATAAATATTATCTATCAATTCTTTAACATCTACTTTTTTTTCTATCCTCTAATTTAGATATTAATGAACTTAGATTTTGTAACTGAGTTTTATCTACTACATTCGCCAATTGTTGTTAAGTATAGGTTTTAATTTCGCTATTATCAATGTTTTGCATTTGGTGTTGAATATAAGTTTTAATATTAGTAAGTTATTTTTCTAATTCACTATTATCAATAAATTTAGTTTCTAGAGTAGTTAATTCCTGTTGTAAACTATCTTCATTTATATCTGGTGGAATTTTATCTATTTATCGTTTAACATGGTTTTAATTTCGCTATCATCAATGTTTTGTATTTGTTGTTGAATATATATTTTAATATTAGTTCTATTTCTAATTCAGTGTTATCAATAAAGTAATCTAATTTAGAAATCAATAAAGAAAGATTTTGTAACCGAGTTTTATCTACTACATTGGCTAATTGTTGTTGCATATATGATATGTTTTGCATTTGGTGTTGAATATAAGTTTTAATATTAGTAAGTTCTTTTTCTAATTCATTGTTATCAATAAGCTTGGCTAATTCTTCTTTACTAATTGAACTACTCAATTAATTGTTTAGTATTCTATTTATTTAATTATATTCTAATTTAGATATTAATGAACTTACAATTTGAGTTTTATCTCTTACATTCACCAATTGTTGTTGATAAGCTTCTAGTTTTTTTTTACTCTCATCTAAAAGTTTTTGATGGTTTTCTTATTGACTTTTACTATCTTTATCTAATACAAGTAGTATATGAGCTCATAGATTGGACGCATTTTTTCCCATTACATTTCATTCCATCCATCCGATCTATGAGATTCAAAAAAGACCTATGCACCCTACATTCCATCAACCCCCCCCCCCCCCTCCCGAAAAGACCTATTCACCCTACATTTCATCATTAAATTATCTATTTAAAAATAGGATGAGTTTAATTTTAAAACACGAACAAGGATAACACATATGAATTTGTTTAATCTGTAAAATCAATTCAATTGAATCTGTAGTTGTAGTATATGAATCAATCACACAAGGAAGTAAATACGGTATTGTTGACATAACACAAAACACTCGTAAATCATCGCAAAAACTTAGATTTACAAAGACACATCCTCAAACATCTTGAACTATCAAAAAAACTTAATCAGAATCCTATAATCCCTTCATTAGATAGAATAATTAATAGGGTCTCTTTTTTCTAGAAACGTCTGTAGAAGATAACTCTGTTTGGAAAACAGACCACAATTCATCATTAAATTAACTCATTTAAAAATAGGTTGCGTTTAAATTTAAAACACAAACAACACCAATTCGAAGATTATTCAGGCGACGGTATCTTTTCATCAATATTTTCTCTAGGTTCAAAAATAATTCCAAAAGAAGGCATATTTATTTCAAACAATAAATCCATCATTTCCTCAAAAGCTAAAGTTATAGGATCTGTTGCGGAAGCGGGAAAGAGTATAAGCGATGCAGTGAAAAAGTCTGACGAGTTGAAAGAATTACAACTAATAGGAGAACTGCGAAATGGGAGATTAGCAGAAAAGAAAGGAAAAGGTTTTAAAGTTATAGGATAGTTAAATGATAGTCGCACACACTCCAAAAACATATATATAATCATTGGGCTCTCTTCCTGGTTTTCCATGGGCAAAATATCCCGGAAAAAACAACTTCCGGGCCATAATTACACTGGTCCAAGTATAAGGTTAGATCTACGATTAGACGAAAACGATAAACCCAAACCAGGTGAAGAACCAGTCAATAGAGTTGATGCTGTTGCACTTAAAAATGATATCTTATACAGAAACAAATGATAATCGAACTTGAAATATTCCAAATCCAACTTTCAAAGAGAGAATGCAAAGGGCTCTAATCATAAAACTGTTAAAAGCAAAGATGAAATTGGGTATGGGATTGGCAGATGAAATTCATAAAGAATTTAGAAAAACTAAAAACTTTTTAAAAGTTAAAGTATTTGAAAAAGATGCAATATGGTCAGCTGATTTAATTGATATGCCAGTCGAAAGAGGATATAAATATTGTTTAACAGTTATAGATTTATATACAAAATACGCATGGGTTATTCCTTTGAAAAGCAAAACAGGATTATCAGTCAAACATTCTTTTGAAACGATTATGAAAAAATCTGGCACACATCCAAGAAAACTGTGGGTAGATAAAGAAAGCGAATTGTATAATAAAGATATGAAATCACTTGGGTTTGCAATTTACAGTACTCATAACGAGGGAAAAGCTGTAATAATAGAAAGATTTAACAGGGCGCTTAAATCAAAACTGTTTAAAAAATTCATAGAACTAAAGTCTCAAAAATGGTTAAAGATTTTACCCACTGTAGTATCTGTTATTTTCGTTAATTATTCTATCTAATGAAGGGATTATAGGATTCTGATTAAGTTTTTTTGATAGTTCAAGATGATGGACAGAGGATGTGTCTTTTTAAATTTATGTTTTTTTGCTATGATTTACGAGTATTTTGTGTTATGACCTATATAGTCAACAATACCGTATTTACTTCCTTGGGTGATTGGTTCATATACTACAACTACAGATTCAATTGAGTTAATTTAATAGATTAAACAAATTCATATGTGTTATGCTTGTTCGTGTTTTTTTTTTAAAATTAAACTCATCCTATTTTGAAATGAGTTAAGTTAATGATGAAATGTAGGGTGAATAGGTCTTTTATTAGGGGATGGGGGAATTGATCGAATGTAGGGTGTATAGGTCTTTTTTTAGAGCTCATAGATTGGATGAACTTTTCCCCGTGGAATGAAATGAAATGGGGAAAAGTGCGTCCAATCTATGAGCTCTAATACAGATATTGTGTTTACTTTTAGTTGCTTAGATTAGAGTATCTCTATTTATTGCAGCTATTTTGTGTTGAGGAAATTTCAAATTAGTTATTTTGAATTGTTCATATCTTTATCATCTTGAAGTGTGTCTCCAATCACATCCACAAAATATGGTTTGAATTTTTTGAATCGATTTTTTTAAACTAGCTTTATGATAATTTGTTCAAATGGTTCGCCTAAACTTAATTTATATAACACCTAAAGAGATAGTTGACGTATACATTTATCTCCTGGTTTTTGAATTTGACAAGTAGACCATTTTATTGGATGGTAATTCAAATCAATTATTTCTTTAGTTAGATCTAATCTAATTTTTTGAAGTTCGTTTTGATAAAATTTGCACAAGATTTCTTCGCCGTGTAGATCTACTAAAGTATAAGTGGTGGAGTATTATTTATTTTATCAATAGTAAATATTTCATTTGTCCAATATCCAACGTAACCTTTTTCCATGAGATTTCATATTTTTGTAATAAAGATCGGTTCCTTGATCACCCATAACTTTTGGGGTTATCTGTCAGATTGCTTCATAAATGTTTCAAAAGCATGTTTGACTGACATTCCTGATTTGTTTTTTAGAGGACTAACCCAAAAATATCTTGTATATAAATCTATAACGGTTAAACAATATTTATATCCTCTTTCAACTGGCATATTAATTAAATCAGTCGACCATATTTCATCTTTGGCGTAAACTTTAACTTTTAAAAATATTTTAGTTTTTCCGAATTATTTATGAATTTCATCTGCTATTCCCATACCTAATTTCATTTTTGATTTTAAAAGTCTTGTGACTAGAGCTCCTCCAACTTTTTCTCTTGGATTTGGAGTAGATTCTAATTCATGAATCATTTGTTGATCCGCTTTATGACTAGATTCCAAATCTTCATGATCTCTATATATAATGTCGTGTTTTAACGCCGCTTGATCAATTCTGCAGATAGGTTCTTCTCTTTGGTTGGGATTATCGTTTGAATCGAATCGTAAATCTAAACGGGCTCCTGGTCCAGTGTAGTTATGTCTTGGAATATGTTTTTCGTTGGAATATTTAGCCGACGGTAATCCTTTTTTCCTGAGCCAAAATAAGTGTTGGATGAGTGTGGATGTTTATTGTAATGATCTTTTTAAGAATTAATAAAGTTGTGATGAAAGAGTATATATATACTGCGTTCGACTCTCCCTCTTGAATAGTAGTAGTGGTATTCATAGATTTACGCTATTGCAAGTGTGTTCGCTCCCCTCTTGCATAGTAGTAGTAGTACTTTCATATTTATGGTTGTTGCGAAGCGAAGCAATGTCCGTAAATCTGAAAGTACTACTACTACTATGTTAATTTAGAGTTTCGACCTGTTTTGTTTTATTATGGTATATCTATAAGTTATAGCCAATTTTTGAACCGATAATTATTACAAATGTGACCGCCAAAAAAATGAAGTGAAATTAAGACATTTACCATAAATTTTGTAGGAAGGGTAACTTGTCCTATACACCTATATAACTTGCGATTTTCAACTCGTTCCAGTAATTTTCTGGCTTCCTGTAGATTTTCTTCCGTGGAATATAATATCCGGTTAAAAATATTATCATTGAGCTTGGTGAAAGCATCCATGTCTTTAATACATTCTGATATATTCCATGTTCTGAAAAAAATGATTTGTAATTAACAAAAGAAGTTTAAAAGACAGACGATAGAACATAAGACCACTTGAAAAAACCGACACGGTGCTGACAAAGTCGTTAGGTGGGTAAAGGTCTTCGGCAGGCCAGGTTATCTTAATTCCACCGTTGACGACCAAGCCATCTAAAACGCAATTTTTCATGTTTTAATTGCTGAATCGCTCTCAATACATTTGACGAACTTTGATATAAAGTTCGTGTCTGGCCTCTTAAAACTTACCCATCTGTAACAAGAAGTTTAGATTTCTCGGCTAAAACCAACGCGTCAACATGCCTGAAATCAAAAGGTTATTAAACAGTATTTGATCGATCTTTAAATGATTAAACAAGAACATTAAATAAGAACACTCGTAGGGATATACTACTCCTTTCTTTAATTTTATCAACGCTCCAATTCACATACATGTGTATTTGAAAATTCCTAAGTGTTCTACTATAAAGCCTTTGTTAGCCTATATTAGCTTTGTATATGTTCATGGTTGGGAAAAAAAATACCGAAAAATGATCATTGGGGCGTGATTATGACATCGTTCACATACCTCAATCAATAAAACACCGTAGAAAAATTTAATATTATCAGACGTGTTGAAGAGATAAAGGTCTACTTACATCATCTCTACACCTAGCGTGACAGCATGCTTACATACCAGACGGTGAATATTATTTCTGATTTGGAACATTTCGTATATATTACTAACTTCCTACAATGATGTTTCGGCATCAAATCAGGTTAACCTCTTGACTCAAGGTTTCAGATCGATTCAAGATGTTTTTATTTAAAGTTTTGTTCCCTTATTTTCATTTATTTATATATATATATATATTCCATCATTGGACGACTAATACTTATAGAAAATCGAAAGTAGAGATGTTCTAATGATTGCGAAAATACAGTTTGTCTCAAAAGTCAATAATCAACTCGTAATCAGCGAACTACTAAGGGATTCCGTGATCAAGCGGTCACTTGATAAAGATTATCCGGTCGCACACTTTCCATGAGGCAGGTAACTCAATGTGTATCTTTTCAAAACCGAACATTACCAAGACAGCCAAATACCAACAGGCAAATAAAGAATTTCAATAGTTATTTTTCCAAAATAGGGAAAAAGACGATGTTTTTTTTATTTCTTAAATACACAGTGTATTTCATCACATTATTTCTAACTTACAAATATGTCTTTTAAACATTGTTTAGCTAATAATTCTTTATACGAAATTATCCAGATCTATTTTAGTCAGTGTGTAAACAAGGAATCTAATTTTAGCTTTTTCAATTGGATTTCAGTACATTCGACCCCCAAGCTTTTCTACGTCCTCACACACTCTTACCAAGTACTTGATTTATTCATTAAAAACATCAATTAATCAAACAATAAGCATGATTTGAACAAGATAAGAGAAGCCAACTTTAAGCACATCGTATCGACACAGATCTAAGTGTGAATTTATATAAGCAAAGCACCTACAACGATTTGCCTACAATACGCATTTATTTTACCATAGTGGTACTCAGATCGACCAAATCGTGGCAAGTACGATTGTAAGTGATCAGAACAGTAATAAGTACCATGGTAGGTTTTGTTCGATACAGGGTATGTCTATTCTTCTAAATATATAATACAAACATCACTTACCTTATCACGAAGACAAAGCTGCATCTTCCCCGATCCATCGTCAATTACTCTTCTAAATTTCATACATCGCATGTGATCAAAGTTACTTTTCATACCTACCATCAGACAATCTCGTGCAAAATAATCCCATTTATCAACATCTACAGATGTACGTTTATTTGAAATAATCTATAAATAGAAAAATACAACGTAAAGGAAGTTGGTTCGAATACATTTGGCACATTAGAAGATATAACGCAAAAATGGGATGCTGTCATCAACCCAATCCAGAAACTGAATGGTTCATACCAGATAAAATTTTTGTGATTACAGTATAAAAAAGTAGTTAACACTTTTCAGAACACTTCTGATCAATAGAACCTATGGTTTCAACTTGGGGGATACGTCCCGTGTGGCATTTCACAATTTTGCGTGGGACTCTTCTCAAGTCCCATAGAAAAAATAGTCTTTTTGTGTATGATGCTGGCCCGACATTCACCTTCCCAGAAGGTCTATTTACAGTAAATAGATCTATGACCCATATTTACAAAAGTTATTCAAATACATTTATATTATAACCAAATATATTACAAAGATACACAATTATCCAAAAATATATAAGTATATATATATATATATATAAGTAATAATTAATATAAATACGAGTGACTTACTATACAAGTATAATTTGACATTAAATTTGGGGTTTTCTGTATAACAATGAGTGATTTATATACTATGAAATATAAATTATAAGTTGTATATTAGCTGGTGAACACAGTTCGTAAAACTTAACAATTTCTTTTTCTGTTTTTTTTCGAAATTTCCCGTGCTTAGACTGCAGTAGTTGCAGCAACCTTTCATCATTCCTAGACCTTCTGTAGTGGCAACGTGTTCCTTAAATATAATTATATTGGAACATTTTTGCAAAACCGGAAGTGCCACAGTTTAACTTGTGCAAAAATTGTCGAAAATTGGCTCTAGAACGCACATTTTTGTATCGATTTTCTTCGGGTTTAAATTTTTACAATCTGCCTGTAATTTCTGACCTGATAACTCTTGAAAAATTACGACTTCCGAAAATCGTCCGTCACTTTTTTCGATCAGATTTTTCAATTTTTTTTCCAACTTATTTGTTTTTGCATCGATTGATCTGAAATTTTAAATGCAAAGAGACTATCACTAATGTTAATAATATGATACAGTCAAATGTTGTACGTCATTTTCGCTTTTAAACAGGAAAGCGACTGAATTTCAAATCTACTTCCAGTTGAATAACTTCCGGTGTAATTTAATTAGGTTAACAAACTTTATGCTGATCGATAGACAGAGTTATGACAAAAAAACGAACAAAAAAATCCGAACCGGAAGTAATATTTTGGCAGTCATTTTGATTTTCCTGAAATGCGTCAAAATCTATTCCGAGATAACGGCTTATCCGATTTTGATGATTTAATGACCTTGACCTTTGATGACCTTGAACGTTATTGGTTAAAAAGTCATTGACCTTGGCCATCAGCTGACATCTACTTCCGGTTTTATGGATGTCCGAAAATAGCCAAATCCGCAACTTTGGACTGCTCTAGTACGTGACCTAATTAACCTAGAATGTGATTTTTTTCCGGATTCTTAATGTGCTTTTCACGCTCTTTCCAGTGATATATATCAATCGTTTTTTAAAAGCAAAATTGAAATTCGTTATTTTTTCAAATTTGAGTGTTTTTTACAATATATGTGTCTCTTTGAGCTTAATGTATATGACCTATTTGATGTAGAACCTAGAAATTTGAAACATAACTAGACATTTTGAATATAAATTCCCCTATGACAAAAAAGTTGAGGTGGACGTGGCACATCCGGGTTGAATTATTAATTGTTTACATTTTGGGGCAGAGCCAAAACTCGCATAGTTTACATTTTTTAAAAAAGGAACTTTGCACACAATAACCTCATCCTTTTGGCCAGTTTGTGTTAAAAGCTCAGTTGTTTCAGCTTTATAGTTCACAAAAAGGAACGGGGTTTTAGAATTTTCAATTTTTGACATTGACCTTTGATGACCTTGAAAGCAGATGAAAAATCAACAAATAATGAATATATTCTAACTGTAGGCCTGGACAAATATTTCTGCAGCAAAAGTAGTGTTCGAAACACGAAATTTGTTAGTTTTGGTTACGTATCAAGGACGAGTATCCCGTGCTTTCGGATCTCGCCTTACGGCAACTCATGCCATTGCCATCGACCTATGTATACGTGAGAGCGCATTCTCGACCATTGCATGTATTAAAACAAAGCCCGAAATCGGCCGAATATTCAGCATGACATTCGAGTGTGTCTGTCCGAAACGGGCCCCGGTATCACACAACTAGCTAATAAGAATTAGGCCCAGCCTTCACAAACATTTAACGCGGAATAACTGTAATATAATACAGTATATAAATACCACAAGTAGGTCCATCTAGCGACCATACCGTGTAACTTTCAGCTATTTCAGATTGGAAAAATCAGGAAATATCTAAACATCGATTCTACCCAACTAATTGTCAACTTTCTCATAACGTCACGGCTGGACTATTGAAACTCCCTCTTTATTGGCCTCCCTGCTTCTTCGCTTCGAAGCTTACAAAAAATACAGAATACAGCTGCGAGAATTATCACATAGACAAAACCATATGAACACATCACACCTGTACTCAACACTCTTCACTGGCTCCCAATTAACAGACGCATTCAATATAAATTCCTTCTTTTAACATATAAGTGTATTAATGGCCTTGTACCACAGTATCTGAGTGACTTGATTCAACTAAAATCTGGAGAACGTGAAAAACGTTCATCATCTAAAAACTGTTTGGTTCAGCCCAGAACTTTTCGTGTTTCTTGTGGGGATCGTGCGTTCTCGGCTGCAGCACCAAGGTTATGGAATAAGCTACCACAAAACATAAAAGACTCTAATTCAGTGGAATCGTTCAAGATTCGTCTTAAGACACACTTGTTTACATGTGAATATCAAATGTGACAGAGATACTCAGCGCCACTGAGTAGAATTTTCTAGAAATTAGGCGCTATACAAATGCATTATTATAGAAGAAGGAACTACTCCGCGCATGCGCTGCCATCACAAGGGTCACTATCCTCAGTGTGACAACTGCTCAGGGAAAAAAGCTGTATGAATACGTGGGGTGAAAAAGAAAAAAACCCACGACGTGGCAGGTTGTGCCTCTTCAAATGGAACAACTCTCAGAAGTTTTGATGTTGACAAACAATACATGATATCGTGTGTAGGTTAAGAGGCCTAAAACATGAAAAGCCTCAGTATAATTATGCTGAACTCTTCTCAAACTCAAAATATTTGCTTGACACTTCTTCTAGAACTGTCTGTTTTGAAGTTTTGAGCGTTCGATTCAGGCAAAAACAGGTTTTACATTCATAAAGATATTTTTGGAGCCATCTTTTAATAATATGCACCTAGGGAGGAAAATGACAAGAAGGCACTGAATTTTAAGAGTTTCAAGCATTTTACCCATTAACAAAAACAAAATATATGCAGTCCGTGGAATATATTTTCTATAATTTATTGTTTGTATGCTTCTGATGAGGTGTAAAGCAGTACCAGCATGTGGGCTTAAGTGTTTTAGGGTCCTATAAAAAAAACCTAAAAAAAACAAAAAAAAAACTCCCCCCTCCCCTGATGTCGGAAATTAAAAGGACGATCACCAATTTTATTTTTATGTAACCTTAATATAACAATCATGTTCTACATTGTTCCGCGAGTTTCATACATTTGGTGGAATTTTTCAGGATTCGGCTCTTCGTAGTACTCTGCTATAGGTGAATTCGATTATAATTGGAATACGTGTCTGCGCCAAATAGATATATGGGACACCACTTAAAAAAGGTTGAAAGCCCAGGCAATATATAAGGTTCGAATGTTGACTTACTTCATATAAAAAGATTTTATCTTGTCTGCTAATTAATTCACTGTTTCCCTGAAATAAATGACCCAAAAATGTCATATTGTTATGGCAGAGCGCTAGGCATGGGCGACAGGGAATCTAGATAAACCTATATCTTACTCTATAGCAAGCTAGAGAAACAATCTACATAAACCTATATCCTACACTATAACAAGCTAGAGTAACAATCTAGACATACCTTTATAAATACAATATTTATAAATTTATCCTACTTTATAACAAGCTAGAGTAACAATCTAGATAAACCTATAACCTACTCTATAACAAGTTAGAGTAACAATCTAGATAAACCTATATCCTACTCTATAGCAAGCTAGAGTAACAATCTAGATAAACCTATATCCTACTCTATAGCAAGCTAGAGAAACAATCTACATAAACCTATATCCTACACTAAAACAAGCTAGAGTAACAATCTAGACATACCTTTATCGTACTTTATAGCATGCTAGAGTAACAATCTAGGTAAACCTATATCCTACTCTATAACAAGCTAGAGTAACAATCTATATAATCCTATATCCTACTCTATAGCAAGCTAGAGTAACAATCTAGATAAACCTATATCCTACTCTATAGCAAGCTAGAGTAACAATCTAGATAAACCTATATCCTACTCTATAGCAAGCTAGAGTAACAATCAAGATAAACCTATATCCTACTCTATAACAAGCTAGAGTAACAATCTAGATAAACCTATATCCTACTCTATAACAAGCTAGAGTAACAATCTAGATAAACCTATATCTTACTCTATAGCTAGCTAAAGTAACAATCTAGGTAAACCTATATCCTACACTATAACAAGCTAGAGTAACAATCAAGATAACCTATATCCTACTCTATAGCAAGCTAGGGTAAAAGTCTAGATAAACCTATATCCTACTCTATAGCAAGCTAGAGAAACAATCTAGATAAACCCATATTCTACTCTATAGCAAGCTAGAGTTACAATCTAGGTAAACCTATATCCTACTCTATAACAAGCTAGAGTAACAATCTATATAATCCTATATCCTACTCTATAGCAAGCTAGAGAAACAATCTACCAAGCGACAGTAACAATCTAGATAAAACTTTATAATACCCTATAGCAATCTAGAGTAACATTCTAGATAAAACTATATAATACCCTATAGCAATCTAGAGTAACATTCTAGATAAACCTATATCCTACTCCATAACAAGCTAGAATAACAATCTAGATAAACCTATATCCTACTCTATAACAAGCTAGAGTAACAATCTAGATAAACCTATATCATACCCTATAGCTAGAATAACAATGTAGATAAACCTTCCTAATCTAAGGGGACTGTGATAAATTATATATAATATTACTGTAGCGGGTGTAAGAATCTGGGCATGGTAAACGCACTACTGCAAAACACTTGATGCAAGTTTATAGTATCGATCCGTTGTGTGAAATGACATGATCCATTGATTTGCTCAAGGGTTAACTTCGGATTTTCTTTAAATTACTCATACCTCATATATACAACAACAAAAAATAACATACCGGTAAAATTCCATAAATTAATTCTTTTATGAATATGAAATCTTTCTCACTGAAACAATATTTTTCAAATTCAAATTTCAACTCATTAACTTCAATAAGGTGATCAAACATGTCAATGGAGGCCTTCTCGTGCTGAAATAAAAAACCATAAATGAAATAAATTAAATCGGCACCTGGTTTGTAATACGAAGAATGTCTTTGTGAAAACAGTTGAAAGTCACTAGACCAGGTAGTAGTTGAAGTAGTATATGAGCTTTCATATTGGACGCATTTCGACATATAAACGCTCTATTACATTACACGTTTTTTTTTTGTCGGAATACGACCTATATGAAAGCTCCCACACCTACTTCCATCATCATATGAAAAAAAAAAACACATATCTACTCTACATTTCACCATCACCTTCAAATCATATATGACCCTCCCCCCCCCCCCCCCATCCCCCAGCAAGATTACTTTATTTATATAAAATGCAATCAAATGGGAAAATTCAAATAATGAACAAAATAACCCTTTATTACACTAAATTACGCATTAAATTTAATCCTTACAAAAATAGTCACGTGTTATTTTTCTTCGAATGAATAGGTCAATGAATAATAGTCTATTCATCTCTTTGAATTGAGTAATAAAAGGGGATTGTTGGTCTATTCATAGAATTGACTAGACTATAATTGTAACAATATCCGGTTTGTAGAGAGTACCGTTGCTGAGCAGCCGCTTAATCAGAATCTTACTAAATAGACTCGTTTCAAAACAAGATGAGTTTTTGTTTATGATAAAAGTCCTAAAACGTATTTTGGTTCAGATATACAAAAATCATTGGGCTCTCTTCCTGGTTTTCCGTGGGCAAAGTATTCCAGAGAACAACATCTTCCGGGTCATAACTACACTGTTAAAGGTACTAGGATAGATCTACGATTTAATGAAAACGATAAACCCAAACCAGGTGAAGAACCTGTCAATAGAGTTGACGCTGATGCACTTAACTATGATATATTTTACAGAAATAAAGACAAACAAGACACGAAGCAGACAAACAAATGATAAACAAACTTGAAAATATTCCAAATCCAACATTTAAAGAGAAAATGGAAAGAGCGCTGATTATAAAACTGTTTAAAGCAAAGATGAAATTGAGTATGGGATTAGCAGATGAAATTAATAAAGAATTTAGAAAAACTAAAACCTTTTTAAGAGTTAAAGTATTTGAAAAAAGATGAAATATGGTCAGCTGATTTAATTAATATGCCTGCCGAAAGAGGATTTAAATATCGTTTAACAGTTATAGACTTATATACAATATATGCATTTTTTATCAGTCAAACATGTTTTTGAAACGATTATGAAACAATCTAGTAGAAAACCACAGAAATTGTAGTAATAGAAAGATTTAACAGGACAATTAAATCAAAACTGTTTAAAAAATTCACAGAACTTAAGTCTCAAAAATGGTTAAAGATTTTACCCACTGTAGTATCGGAATATGATAATAAAATCCATTCTTCCATCGGTGTTTCTCCTCTATAAAGCTAGTCAAAGATATTACAAAGTTTTCTTCTACCCTTAATAATTTTGAAAATGAAATAAAAGTTCTAAAGGTATATTTATATAAAAAGAATAGTAATAAATAAATAAATAAGTGATCAACATCTAACAAAAGCATAGAGCAGGGGTCACCATCTTTAAGAGTATATTGTTGAGTCGCCTCATGTATTTCAAGTGCTCTCTAAATATTCTTGTTTTACACTTTTTTTCAATTGGATTAATTTAATGGATTTTAAAATGTACTTTTAACTTTGAATGCTGGATCTACTGAAATATTTTATTTTTTACAAAACTTCATTTTAAGAAATTCATTGACATATTTATATACTTTCTTTGTGTAATGTGAATTCTACTCGGATTTAAAATGGTCAAGTCAACTTTATGTGATCCACTCAGTGAACCTACTAAGGTGATTACAGATATTTATAGGACTAACTATAGAAGGTATAGAGGTGGTAAGCAGTGGCCTAAAAATATTAAAAGACTGATTACAAATCGCCCTAATCCTGTACCAACAACTAAAAGTAATACTAAGACCATAAATAGAAACAATCTAGTGAACATTCCTCTGAAAGAATTACCTACTCTGTGATTGCTGAACTATAGATCAGTTAAAAATAACATTGACAGTTTACAAGAGTACATAATTGACAATGATTCAGATATATTCATTATTACAGAAACATGGCTAAAAGAAAAAGAATGACTTCTTACTCAATCAACTTTTCCCAAATAACTATGACTATAAACTGATTAAAACATCTTCAAAAAATCTAGTTCCCGTAAAAGACTAATATTACCGAAATTCACCAGTTTTGAACATATGGCACCCACTTTGCAAGTTAAAAATGAAACCTTCCTCATTATTTCCATATATCGTCCTCCACCTTCAAAATCAAACAGATTAACATTTGACTTGTTCCTGTTAGAGTTTTGTAGTTTGTTAAGGGACAAAGTGACTGATTCTGGAAAACTAATTATACTGGGTGATTTCAATATCCATGTTGATAACCCAGGTGCAGAAACTGTTTCGAAATTTGACCATCTTTTAGAGACATTCAATCTACAGCAACACATTCATAGCCCAACCCAAATACATAACCATACCTTAGATTTGGTAATTACAAGAGACTGATACTTTCATCAAGTCAATAGATGTTGTAAACCATCTACTCTCCGATCACTGTAGCGTTTTTTGTGAGCTTGATTTCCCAAAACCGGTCCTATCAAAAAATGCCTTGAAACAAGGAAAATAAAAAACATAAATATAAACAGTTTTCGTGATGATATCAGAAATAATGCTGAACTGCAGGAAATAAGATCACAAAATTGCACCAACAGACAGATTGAAATATACAACAGGGTATTAACTGACTTACTTCACCTTCATGCCCCAATTCAATCAAAAACAATAACCATACGACCTAATGCTAAATGGTATAACAATGACATTCGCCAATCAAAGAAAGTTCGTCGTAAGGCCGAAAAGAGGTGGAGAAATTCAAAACTCGAAGTTGATCGTCAGATTTACAAGGCTGCTCGTACAAACACCAAGAACCTCGTTGCAGCAACGAAAAAACATCATTTCCAACAGCAATTAAATGAAAACACAGGAAATTTTCAATATTACAAATAAACTTTTGCAACCTACTCACTCATCCAATCTTCCATCAGGCCAAACTATCCAACAATTAACCAAAACCTGATTTCTTTGACAACAAACTATCTGCTTAAAGAGAACAGCGTGATGATAACCAACCTAACATTTAATTACTTGATAAATAATTCAATGGAAAACCACTCAATGAATTTCTACATGTTTCTGAGACTGAGATAAGCTAATAACTTCCTCTGCATCCAAATCCTGCTCTTTGGATCCTATCCCAACTTGGCTCTTGAAATTGTACCCTAGGAGATATTGCAGCAATCGGCAATACTTCACTATCAACAGCTGAGGTTCCTCCTGTCCTAAAGTCTGCACTAGTGAACCCGCTACTCAAAAAACCATCACTGAGTATCAACATCTTAAAGAATTATAGGCCCGTATCTAACTTATCCAAACTTATTGAGAAGGTTGTTGCTGGACAATTCTGCCATCATCTTGCAGTAAATGGTTTGGGTGCAAAATTACAATCAGCCTACCGAAAATGTCATAGCACCGAGTCTTAGTTCGTGTGTACAACGATGTCGTGTCATCTGTTGGCAACAACAAAACTGTAGCTTTAGTCTTGCTGGACCTGAGTGCAGCTTTTGACACGATCGATCAGTCGATTTTGCTGAATCGTATATCCTCAAGACTTGGCGTGATCGGCGTTGCCTTGACTGATTCCGATCATACCTCACGGATAGAAAACAAAAAGTCACCATCAACAACATCTGATCACAACCAAAATATCTTCGATACGGCGTACACCAAGGGTCAGTTCTAGGTCCACTGTTGTTCACAGCCTATACCACACCAATTGCCGACATTATGCAACGTCATGACCTTCACCACCACATCTATGCAGATAACACCAAACATTATGTGGAGGTTGATGCTACCAACAATAACTGGAAGCTGGAAACCTTTATTGAAGAGCTTCGGACCTGGATGAAGTCCAACTTCCTCAAACTTAATGATGACAAGACAGAGGCAATATTCTTTTCCAAATCGAAGCTTCTTATGGGCAACTCTGTATTGGTTGGGAACACACAAATGGAAACCACCAATTGTGTTAGAAATCTTGGGGTGTTACTAGACGAAGCATTGAAAATGAAAAATCATGTTTCAGCTGTATGCAAGAAAACCAACTTCCACCTGTACCGAATGGGCAGAATCAGAAACCTTTTAGACACCAACACTACCAAAATGAATGCTTTCGTCACATCTACACTAGACTTTTCAAATTCACTGTTATACGGCTTATCATCATACCTTATACACCAAGTTCAGTCAATCTAAAATAAAGCAGTCCGAATCGTCACAAGAACTAGTACCCGAGAACATATAACCCCCATCCTTGCAGATCTTCACTGGCTACCTATCAACTATCGAATATGTTTTAAAATCAACACCCCCACCTACAATTGCCTCAACGACTCTAATTTCCCATCCTTTTTTAAAGATTTAATACAGCTATAAATTCCTAAACGCTCCCTCAGATCATCAAACCTTCTACAACTAACGACCAAGAAAACCAATACGAGATTTGGACAAAGATCTTTCTGTTTCGCTTCATCTCATGAATGAAATACACTGCCCCATCCAACAAACAAAGTAAGTCTATTTGATCTTCGAAAAGATGTTGGTTATTGGACAAACGAAATATTTATCGTAGATAAAGTAATTAGTACATAACTTCCAACATATGAAATAATCGATCAAGACAAAGAACAAATCAAAGCGAACTTCCAAAATCTGACTTTAAAAATGAATATGAATGAAATGAATAGTTTTCTTGATGAACATAGAAATGATACAACCACAAACTTTTAAATTATGAGATGGGCAAATGAGTTAAATATATCACTGTTTTATTATTGTATGCGAGATGAAATAAATGATCTTAAGACTAAAAACGGTAAATTTTATGCTATAACAAATATACATACTTCCGATCAAAAAGGAGTTCATCACTTCTCTTTATACAAAGACTCTTTAAATAAATTTGATTTGTTTGGATTAGAACCGACTGAAGAGATAATGAAATTGATTAATCATCCAATT